GGCGGCACCTGCATCAGGCTAGTAACTCCATGGTTTGCTCAAGGCGAAACAAGTAGTTTAAGCAATCACGAGGCCTGTAGGTTGCCCTTGTCAATTCACCAATTTGCATCTTCAGTTGTTTAAATCAATCAGACCATTCAATTTAACACGAAATGTGCGTGGAATATCATTGTTCCGATTTGAAATTCCTTCGAACAGTTTGACTGTTCTGGCAACCACTTCTATATGCGCCATTTAAAATGAAAAATGTGACCACGTTTTCAAAGCAATTACCATTAATAAATCACCTTCTGGGTTCAGTCTTTTTCAGTTATTCGTATTTGAAAATGAGCTATCAAATTTCATTTTAGTTGTTACGTGCATTCATTCAAAACTGTTTCGTCCAATCATTAATCTGTGTAAAAAAAATCCCTCTCCCAAAATTATCACCGAAGAGTACAAACTATCATAATTTATTCTCCTTACGTAATTTTAGCTGTAAATGAGGAAACGAGAAAAGGGGAAGAGAGAGAGAGAGAGAGAGAGAGAGAGAGATGGGGGGTAGCAGCAAATTAACCCTGTTAAATTGACTCCTTTTTATGACATAACCTCTTGAGTACAGGAGTATGTCAAATCAGTACAGTATTTTGATATCAATATTCATCTACAACGAAGTGAAGTACCGTACAGGGTAACAATTCTATTTAGAAGTAAAGAAAGTATATTCTGTAAGACACCTGGTGTTCACTTTCAAATATTTACACCGTGCCGCCGCAAGATGGCGATATTTCACAAGGCCCGCTATTTTAGGCAATATGCCTAATATAAGACGGTTTGGTACATTAGGTATATTGCCTAATTTAAGAAGGAGGCCAGGGGCCTGTTGTGACAGTTGCACTTAAATACTTATCACCCAAGTCATTTGTTTCTAGTACTATTGATGCATGACATGAATACACATATATTTGTAATAGCACTTCCTCAGGCAAGGTGCCTAGTATAGCGCCATCTATTGATAACCACTTGATATCAAACTCTCAGAAGGCTACATTAACATGGTTGTGCTGAGGTCCAAGAAACCCCTTTTTGCCAGAGCATCAAGGAGATTTCAGTTCTAAGTTTGTCATTATGTCAGGCAAAGAGGTTAGTTTTGTTGTATATTGAATCTATTTCTATGAATTGTTGAAACATAAAGTGTAAATTAGTGTGTGTATTTTGTACTTCATACTGAGAGATGTTGATGTTAGTATGTAGTGTAAGACATGCAAGCCCATGCTGGTTTAATATGTACATTTGATTTGATATGAAGAACAATGATGATAGTGAAGATATTGTTAAATAATTTGATGATATATTATGAGAGTGCTGAAGCACTAAGTAGAGATTCAGAATTTATAATTGTTTAGATAATTGTTCAAACATGCTATAGTGAAGTCTAGTTGTGATACTTTTGGTGTGAGTTTGTATTTATGTAAAGCCATTTAATGCAGATGGACTAGAATAGTGACTGGGGTTATTTTAATAAGTTGTAAAGATCATGACACAATGTACATTATTTTATGACTTTCTCAAAGAGACTGTGTTTATTGCTATATTGATGATGCTATGATGTACTTATATTTATTATTCTTTATCTGTGATTTATCCACAGTTTTCACGGAATGAATTGGAACGACATGATTACTCCAATTAAAGCTATGAATTCCTGTAGAAGCCTTTGTTCAGACTTATGATTTATTATCGACCTCGCTGCAGCCACAGGGCCACTTTCAGTGTCGTTCTACCTTGGCTCAAGGAAAGACTCGGCATGGCGCATAGATTGGTGACGATCAAGTGGAACTTAACACTCGACATTGAAATAGCCATAAATCTCATGTCTTGTAGGATTTATGGTCTTGAAATTATGCTCGTAACCTCCTCAGTAACTATGTCTTGTAGGCCTACAATCATATCGAATAAACTTGAATATTGGCGTTTTAAAACACATGTTCCTTCCAAAAATATATCGATGGATTCATCTCTCTTGACTACAGGGGCGTCCGAATGTCTTTCAGTGTGGGGGTGCACCAACAAAAAAAAGAGTAATTTCTGGGGGGGGGGGGGGGAGAGGGAGGCACTGCCAAAGGGTTCAAATACTGAAACAAAGTTTACACATTGGTATATATATATATATATGATAGCTTAGACAGATACCGAGATGTAATTGGTCCAGAGCTCGTCACGTGATATCAATTGTGAGGATCCAAATTGTTATATTTTCCTGGCCGGTCACTTTTCGGTGTTATATTAACCAGCTGGTGAAATGAATATATTTTTAATCAATGCATGTCGCCCTCTTGAGGACTGTATGTCACCAATTACACACATTAAACCATTACCGAGGGTCATTTAATTTTTTCAATATTTTTTTTTCATGAATTTTTTTTTCCCTTGAAATTATTTTTTCCACATTTTCTTTTTTTTTCCGAAAATTTTGGGGTAATTTTTTTTTTTCCCGAAAAATGCTTTTTGGGTAAGAATTTTTTTTTTTTTGTAAGGTTTTTTTTCTTTCTTGAACCATCTCGACAGATTATTTTTCCGTAATTTCCGAAAAAAAGGGGAATTTTTTTTTTCGACCCCCCCCCAAAAAAAGGGCTATCTAATATAACAGTTATTGACTGGCAGGGGATATATAACATTCTTTGGACCTGAAGGGAGTTATATTTCCCCTCGTGACCATATTTTCCCTCAGCGCTGCGCGCTTCGGGAAAATATAACCACTTGGGAAATATAACTCCCTTCAGCGGTCCAAATAATGTTATATTACACCCTCTGCCAGTCAATAACTGTATAATATAACTACCTTGTGATTAATACATTACCATTGATGATCTCCAAAATTTATTCATAACGTGATCCAAGACACTGCTTCAGCAACATACTTTTGCAGTTGTCAATGTGTGTAATTGTTCGAAGATTCATTTGCGAATTTGCGCCAATCGCAATGGTGGTTTAAGAACAATCCTATCATGAAAGAATGAATAAGACTTTGGAAAAGTCTTACTTAATGAGATAGGCCTAATATGATTGCAAGCTAGCGTAGCAAGTAAGTTTTAGGGGAAATAAAAGAAAAACTGCTCTCTTTCGCTATAAATTAGTGGCATATATTAAAGGTAGTGTATCCCTTTTGAAGCCAACATCAAATACTGTAGAACTTTGCAGGAATTATGAATATATCACGTATGTCATATCTGGGAAATTTAAACGTTAGCAGAGTCTAAATATTCAAATTATGCAAGGAAACCCGTTTACTTGCTAGGTTTCACTGTCAGACACTATTGAGTGACTGACTGGCTGTTTTCTTCTTTGGTAATAACATACATAAAATGAGCTGTAAAGGGTACATGAGCATTTGTCCACATCAATAACCCACTTCTTTTAATGGCCAAAATTAAGCTGACTGAATCTTTGCGCAGCACAAAACAGACACAAACTGTGGAATGATGATGGACAGGGGCGGCGATCCCTGGGGGGACGGAGGGGGGGACACGTCCTCCCCCTCAATTTTTTTAGGGGAGGATCGTCCCCCCCCCCTCAAAATTTGAAAAAAGTGCCCCAAAAAAATGTATAGCAAATACTGACTAAAGATTGCAACACACTTTTAGGCTCTGGAGGGCCCAATAGTGTAGCGTTTAGACAAATAAAAATGCAAAAATTTTCTCAGTCAGCAGCTACGCTCCCTCGCATAATATCCTTCAAAATGTATGAGTAAATACCGAGAAAAGTGAAGTGTGGAAAAAGTATATTGCTTGTTTTTATACTATAGTTTTGCTAAGGAATGTAGTTTTTTGATACAACCAAAACTTCAAAACCTGTGAGAGGATAGTAACTTCCGTCACCTTCACCCCTCTCATTCACTATGCTCCCTCGCACTTGCGTATTGATGGTGATGGGGGGTGGGGGGGGGGGGAAGCTTGGGGGAAGTTATCCCTCAAAAAAAATAAATTCAAACATGGTTTATTTCTAATTCGATACCAGTGATTTACAAATGTTGCTGAAATGGCATTTTCCCCTGAGCTTCCGGGGGCTCTGCCTCCTGGACCCCACCAATTAAATGCCCTGAGGCGGTCCTTGGATGCTCATCTGATCGTAATTACATGCCTAAAACCCCTGAGCTTCTGGAGGCTCCGCCCCCTGTACCCCACTCCAACTAGTGACCTGCATGTCAGTGCAAGTCACAAATAAGGTATCAAAATATGCTACTCTGACCGTAATTAAATTCCTAAAACCCCTGAACTCCCGGGGGATCTGCCCCATGGATGCTCATCTCACCTCAATTAGATGCCTAAAAACCCCTGAGTTTCATGGGGCTCCGCCCCTTGACCCCCGCCAGGGCTTTGCCCCTGGACCCCACGCCAATTTACGCTCCATTGCTTCGCTCGCTTTGCTCTACCTGATCGTAAATACCTAGCCCCCTCCCCACTTTGAAAAAAACGTTGCCAGGGCCTGCGTAACATGTGAGAGTGGCGGTAATGCGGTTTTTTCTACCCCCCCCCCAAACGTTTTTGCTCATTACGCCACTGCATCCTCGTCCTTCACATTTCGTCCCCCCGGTCATGAAAAGAAATCGCCGCCCCTGATGATGGATGATGGATGCAAAAAAAAAAGAGAAATAGGAAGAGATGGTAAAGAATGAGAGTCGGAAGAAGAATGAGAAGAGAGAAAAGGAATTTTTAGAATAGAATATTCAGGGTCGGGAGTCACAGTCGGGGAAAAAATAGTTTAGTTGTGCATGACACGTACGAATTCAATAATAACAATTTAATATGTTTTTTGAAGCTGCCACAGTTTTTAAGCTGTTTGATATTCGGATCAATGTTGCTCCAGTAGTTTGGTCCTGTGTGTATGAAATTTGTTTGAGGTATGATTATTATGAGAGTGAAATCGAGAAAAAAAAACATAGTGACTGCAAAACGAATAGTTCAAAAATGGAAATAATGCAGTCGAAATGACGCCGGCCGTGTGCAACGGGATTAATGATTAATTTTGTATTTTGTTATGCAGATTCTGATAAGTGCGTCACCTTCACTGTCTCCATTAAGGAATGTGAGATGAATTCAAGTACTATCGAAGGTAGCTTTTGCTCCTGTACTGCCAGCTGCCTATTCTTCGAAGATTGTTGCTATGGATCATCACGCACATTCGAGAAACCTTACACCATGATTCTGGATAAGCAGTATTGGAGTTGCACCCGATTTACCATTGGCGTCGCACAGAATACATCTTGCATTTACAATTACTTTGTAGTGGACAGGTGTCCATCTTTAGCTGGACCTGACCCCGAGTTGGTATGGAGATGTGAGCACCCGATGGCGAATGACACTGTCTTTGTTGACTCCCGGAAAATCTTCTTCCGCAACAGGTATTGTGCCCTTTGCCACGGCGTAAACTCATCGGAACTCACCCCTTACGTTGTTTTTGCACCTTGTCAGGACAACCCACCGAATGTGGATACGTTTTGTGGACAGCAACCGTTCAAAATTGACGGGAATCACCCTCCTGCTCCTCGTTCATGTGTCGATGATTCCGCCATCGTATCACAATGCGATTCACGATTAGCAGACCGAATTTCACAATTACTTTGTTCGAGCGAAAGCGAGCAAAGATTGATGGTCAATGGTACTATCTACAGGAACGCTGATTGTGCAATGTGCAATGGAATGCTAGTAGACAACAACGAATCACAATGTAGAGCGTCAAGATCTGATAAAGTCCCCGTTTTTAGCACCGCTTACTTTTATCCAGAGCTGCGATGTACGAATGGCCTTCGATTATCTGGAACCGAATGCATCCCAGAAGTCAGTTCCTGGCCAGATTGCAAGAACAGAAGCGTCATCTTTGCTGTCATCGCCAATGGTTACATGCAGTGCTACGGTGGCTTCAAACGTTTCAAATACATGAAAACTCTCATGAACATCGAAAGTCCGGTCATGTCGAGCTATGAATTCGATTATGATGTCTCTGACGGGTATTTCACAACCTTCCTAGAGTTTCCTGCTGACATCCTACCGCACACGAGTGAACTGGAAGACTTTATTGAATACAGCTTAGATGAAACACAGGAACAGAGTTGCCCGGATAGCAAAATCATCATCCGAGAAAGATGTAACATTGATTATGAAATAGTCATGGGTAATAGAAGTAATATATCTCGCATTGTAGATGACCCCCATTTATTTAAACCGGTGGACATCAATGGGACAGCTTATATCATGTATAATGACACCACTTTCGTGACGCCATTTTTGTGGGAAAACGACACTTATTTCTCACGTTTTTCAAACAAATGGAATTTCACCAAGCAACTGTCCTTCTCGCTTTATGGTAAGGTCGTTGACATAGACACATGCGCTGCTATCATTGTTGGAGACTCGCTCATCACCGAAAATGAAAGAGACAATGTTACCTATTTGGTAAGTTTAAACGTTTAGAATATTTGTCAGGTTAGATATTAAGGCAATATTGTGTTTTCCGCGAGATTTATAGGATAGGGCCTATGTGATGTGGTCACATGTATAGGGTTGGGCATCTATTTCCCCAATAGTTGGCACAATAGTTACTGGAATACACATCATTCATTTGTCGTTCGTTATTTCAAAACGTAACCATTCATGAATGGGGTTTGTATTGGGGTGATCCTATCCTAAACTAACCTAGACTTACCCCCAAACTTACAAAAACCCTGATCATATAACCATAATATTTTGCGTAAAGCGTTAGAAAAAATAATGGTGCGTAAACAATCAATAGTATGTTTTATTTATTTATTTATTTATATTTCACCAGGGTAGCCCATTCAACAAAAAGTTGGTCTTCCATGAGGCCCTGTAAAACATGTATATACAATTAAAAAGATAAAACAAACAATTAGGTATGAATACATTAATAGAACAGTATTACATATTGAAAATAAATATACAATATCAAACATATTAATCAGTGTCAATTATGATGAATGCTATTATAAATAGATCACTTGCTAAGAGAGTAAAGGATTAAGTAAAAGAAGCGAGAGAGAGAGCTTAAAGAAAAAATAGAGGCAGACTAGCAGTAAAAAATAATTTTAAAAAAGGTGTTCCTCAAAACCTATCCTGATTCAACAGCAAGGTGGAAAAATATTTCTTAAGTGCCAATTTGAAGGTCTTTACATTACTTATCTGCTTAATATTAGAAGGTAATTTATTCCATAGAAAAGCACCATCATAACTTATTGCATTCTTAAGGTATTCAGTATGACATTTATCAATAATCAGGTCATGACGAGTACATTGCCGTGTGTAAAAATTATGTTGAGTTGATACTTCTTGAAAAACATCTTTGTGAAAGTCTGAAGATAAATCGTTAAGACATTTAAAAACAAATATACATCTAAAATATTTAACCCTCTCTTGAAATGGTATCCATTTCATGCGAGTAAATAATTCCTTTGATGGGGTATACATATTACAGTTTAAAATCATTCTTGCAGCCCTCTTTTGTAGTTTAGTTATCTTATCTATATGACTTAAAAACCTGTTTCCCCAAATTTCACAACAATAATCATTTTGTGATTGTATGAGACATGTGTATAATAATTTCAATGAAATGTCATCTACATATGGTTTAACTCTTCTAAGCATGGCAAGTCCGGCAAACACTTTTCTACATAAATAAGCTACATGATCAGACCATAATAAGTTTTCATCGATCATAAAAACCTAGACATTTAAAGATCTTACATTGTTCAACACATAATATATAATACTGTCATTTTTAAAATGGTTTAATCTTTGTTTATTTCCGATGATCATAAATTTGGTTTTATCAACATTCAAATAGAGTTTATTACATTTTATCCATCTACATATAACATTAAAATCACTTTGCAATTTAATTTGTACATCCGAAAAGGTGGGTCCACTTACATAAAGTGTCGTATCGTCGGCATACATTACAATTTTTACATGTTTCAAAACTTCTGACATATCATCTATATAAATCAAAAATAGGAGCGGGCCCAAAATAGATCCCTGTGGAACTCCAACAAAAATACAGCGATCAGTTGATTTAGAATCTTTTATAGCAACATATTGTTTTCTATTATTTAAATACGAGTCAAACCAAGCTAATGATAACTTACCCAAACCTATTTTCTTTAACTTATTTAACAAAATATCTGGATTAACCGTATCAAAAGCTCGTCTTAAATCAATAAAAAGAGCCCCTACAATGAGGCCTTTATCTATGCAGTGTAACCAACTGTCTGTTAAAGCCCCAAGAGCCGAGGCTGTAGAATGACCTGGCCGGAACCCAAACTGCGTCTTACTGAGGATATTATGTTCTATTAAATAATCATACAATTGCTGATGAACAGTCCTTTCAATGAGTTTACTTATTGCAGGTAAGATGGAAATTGGACGAAAATTACCAATATTGTTAATGTCGCCTTTTTTGAATAACGGAAAAACCTTTGCATACTTCCAATCATTGGGAAAGACTCCTGTTGAAAAAGACAAATTAATCAATTGAGTAATGGTTGGTACAATAAAAGCTTTAGACTTTTTTAGGAAGATAATATTAATATCATCAGACCCTGTTGCTTTGTTAGAATCCAAGTTTGAAATCAATTTTTCAACATAGCTTTCATTGGTGGAAACAAAGTCAAAAACATAATTGGAAGGATAGCAATTAAAAACATCCCCAATATCATGTTCGTCGGCTTGTATGACATTCATCTCTTGCGCGAGCTTAGCATTTATTCGAATAAAATAATCATTAAAAGCATTGGCAATAGCGTCATCGTTATTAAACACCATATCATTGTCGTAAAGAATGGAAGGAAATGATGAGGATTTTGTTGGTAATAATAACTTTAAACATTTCCACATCTTTGAAACATCGTTTACATTTTTCTTGATTTCTTTCTTTAAATATTCAGTTTTACTTTTAAACATAGATATATTGACCTCATTCCTTAGATTGGTGTACTTTGACCATAATTCTTCACACATTGTATTTAAATGGGAATCTTTTTGCAATAAAATCTTTTTCTTTACTTTCAAAATTTTTCTATGAATATTATCTCTTTTCTTCATCAGTGTTCTAATATGTGACGTTATCCACGAAAGCGATTGATCTTTAACACGAAATGATTTTATGTCATTAGGGCCCTGTCTTATAAAGAGTTTCATCGATCCGGACTGATCGCAAGTTATCCAATCAATCGCAAATTTAAAATCTCTGTTATCTAAGTTATCGAACGTTAATGGATTGTAAACCATGCGAAATATTAAAGAATACTGTTCATCATGAAAGTTTATCACCTCTACAATTGATTCACTTCATGAAAATAATTCACCATATCGTCATACATGTATTATCTTGTCACTCTCAGATATACCAGGACATCTCATTTCCTCCAGAGAGCTACGTTCGTTACCTGAATGGCTCTGTCCGTCTATGCTGGACTGGACCCGATCCTCCAGAACCTGTCAGCATGTTCCAGTACTCCAAAGGACAGTATATTTTGAACCTCATACTCCTTGTTCTGTCCTCCATCTGTCTCTTGGCGACGTTGATCACCTACTGTATCTTCAAGCCTCTGAGGAACCTCCAAGGCCTATCCATCATGAGCTTTGTGTCGGCCCTTCTTGTTGCGCAGGTTAGTGCCAGGAGTAAACTGTCTATGAACCTTCATTAATTTTTTTTAAACAATAATTACTTGCAGACAAAATGAATATCAAAGCTCACATTTGCTTTCGAGATTTGTAGATAAATAGCCCAGACTAAATCGGCCTTGTAATTCGATTTAAGTTTAGATCATAATGAAAACAGGAGCAGTGCAGTTGCAGGTTTCAATTTTCCGTTCGTGCCTACAAATTCTTCTTGAGATACGGGCAGGCGCGCCGGAAGCAGTTTGGGATTTGGGGAGGGGACAAACATTCCAGGGGGCTCACCTTTCAGGGGCAGTGGCGTATATGAGCAAAGATGTTCGGGGCAGAAGTAAAATCTGCATCACCACCGACTATTTTTATGTTACATTCAGGCACCGCAGAACGTTTTTTCAAAGTGGAGTATTAACAATCAGGTAGAGCGTAGCGGTTTTTAGGGGTTTTAGGCATTTAATTATGATCAGATAAACGTATTAAGAAACCGTATTTGCGACAATGGCAGGTCACTCATTGGCGTGGGGTCCAGGGGGCTGAGCCCCATGAAGGGCAAGGGTTTTAGGCATTTAATTACCGTCAGATTGGCATATTTCGATGCCTTATTATTATTGTGACAATGGCAGGTCGCCTATTGGCGTGGGGTCAATCCAGGGGGCTGAGCTCCATGAAGCTCAGGGGTTTGAGGCCTTTGATTACGATCAGATGAACATCCAGAGGGCCGCCTTAGGGCCCTTGGTCGGAAGCTCAGGGGTTTTGGATATTTTATTACGGTCCGATGAGCATCCAGTGGCCATCTTAGTGCGCTTGCTAGGATACAGGGGATCGAGCCCGCGGAAGCTCAGGGGTTTTAGGTATTTAATAACGGTCAGATAGGCATCCGCTTTAAGGCCCTTGATGGGGTACAGGGGACGGAGCCAACGTGTTGTGACACTGGCAGAGTGGCAGGTCACTATTCTTTCTTTCTTTTTCTCTTTAAGTCCTTTTTTTAAGTGAGGGGGGCGCGAGTCCCCCCCCCCCTCCCACTGAGCCCCGCCATTCTGCAGGCCCTGACATGAAGGCTTCAAAATAAGCATATGTTTTGCCTGACTGTAAATTTTGGAATTTGTGAGTTTCCAACAAACGCATAAAAAATATAATTTACAAAAAGAATAGAGAAAACATCCCGGAAAATCATGTCATTTTAGCAACATTTGTAAATCACTGGCGGTATCGAATTAGAAATAAAACACTTTTAAATTTTATTGGGGGTGGGGGCAACTGGGGGCAACTACCCCCAAGCATAGGGGCGTGCGGAATGTTTAGGGAATTAAATTCCTGTTAAGTCTCCTTTTCTTCGAATGGAATATAATTTTTGTTATAACATTTCACTATCCCTCGTACGCTGCGTGCAATGACCTGTCTAAAATGTATCCAGATTGTCTGTAAATCATCATAAATATTTTTGTTTTTCCAAAGTTGATGCTCCAGTTCATCGCTCCCAACATGGTATCTTTGCCAACCGTGTGTACGATAGCAGCTATCATCACTCATTATTTTCTCCTCGCTATCTTCGCATGGACGAACATCTTGGCGTACGACCTTTTTCGTTGCTTCGCGTCCTCATCTTTCCTACCCAAGAGACATAGTCAGAAGACACGTCTCATCTGCTACTTTACTTTTGGCTGGTGTCTTCCTCTCGTCATCGTCGTTCCCTGTCTGATTACTCAAGTTCAGAACCCTTCGCTGTTTCGCTACGGCAAGATCGGGACATCGTGCTGGATCTACCAAGCCAGGGCTATCGTTCTGGCTTTCTTGGTACCTGTCGCCGCCAGTTTCCTCGTCAACTTCGTTTTCTTTTTGTTAACTGCCTACGGTGTTCACAAGAGTAAGCGTGATTCCAGCGTTCTCCATACAGGTGTTCAAGAGCGACGGAAAGAGATTTTCACGGAGCTGGCTGTCCACTTCAAGGTTTGTGTGTCGATGCTTACCGTTTCATAAAACCTTTCATCAATAACAAATGCTTAATTTCTATGATAAATTTGCTCTCAGCCAATCAGATGCCTTGATTTCAATAGCTTATAACAGTAGCTTGTTATTGATATTGTTATTGATATCAAGTTTTATGAAACAGGCCTGATAGGCGGGGAGGGGGCCCTCGTTGATTATGATTGTTTTCTTTCCGAACTCTCTATACGATGTTCAAAAGAGCTTCCAGGGTCCTTCCCATCGTTCTTCGTGAATAGAGCAAATTAAGGAAGTGCTTTGTAAATGAGCTTGTATAGTCCATTTGGAGTTTAAATGCATGTACACACTATACACGGCTGTTGGGATAGACTGACCATCGTTAATTGGAATCAAAGCTGTGTCGGTGCCGGAAAGAATAATTAAGCCTATCGCCAATCTGTACAAATTTGAGCCAACCTTCAAACGGATGAATTTGTTTTAAATTGTTTACAATAAATTATTCGATTAAAAGTGGGCATTTTGTTCTTCTTCCTACGATTTAATATTTATTTGTATCTGGTCATCTCATTGCATCTGGTAATATGCACTTCTGTCAATATGTTTCCCTCATTTGCTTGTCTTACGTCTGCCTCTATAACTGTGACTTCTGTTTAAGTGAGTTATATTCAACCTATCGTCTTCTCTCTGCATCTCTTTCTCTCCCTCTCTCTCCCTCTCTCCCCACCCCCTCTCTCTCTCTCTCTTTCTCTCTTTCTCACTGTTTATAATAATTTCCTCTTCTCACTATCATTCCCTAAATGCTCTCAGATATCGTGCCTGCTTGGTTTTGGATGGTCCTTCGGTTTCATCGGCGCCTTCGCCCAGTCTGCTGCTGTTTGGACAATCTTCATCATCACCAGCTCTCTGCAAGGTATCTTCGTCTTCATCTTCTTTGGCGCTAACCAACGGGTCAGGGGTCTCTGGCGAAAGAAGATTTACGGATCCAAAGCACGAGGGAGCACTACGACAGGAACGTCTTCTACAAGTGTGGGATTGAGAGACATGAGTCAGAAATAATTATGTACATGTATCATCAGGTTCAACTACCCATGTCTAGAAGTTATTTCATTTCATTTTTCATTTATTTATTTAAACACGGAGGCCTACCTCAGCCCGCGGACTGTTCTTCTGTAGGGCCGTGCATATACATAAAAACATATAATATCAAAATAACATATATACAACATAATTCAACATAATAATGGTAACATAAATACATACAAAACAAAAATAACATAAACTAAAAATACATATGAAATATTAAAAGGGGATGGGGATTACTCATTAAGGGCTCTTGGTTCCATATACTTATTTAGATTACGTTTGAAATTTATAACAGATAACTCACGTTTAAGTTCTGGTGAGATTGAGTTCCAGCATTTCGCACTGAAATAGCTGAAACTCTTTTTTTTTAAACATGTTTTTAATTTAGGTAGTACAAAATTATTAATTGAATTTCTCATAATATAATTACATTTTTTTAGTTCAAATAAATCTAGCAAGTAATTAGGACAATTATGATTAGCAATTTTATACATCATGTAAAGGGCATGTTTATCTCTTCTTTTTTTCTAAAAAATCAAGCTTTAACTGCTGAAACAGGGAAATTGTAGAATGTCTGGCATCAACTTTTAATATAATTCGGAGGGCTCTATTCTGGAGGACTTGAAGCTTCTTAACAGATTTTTTCATAATATTTCGCCAGACCACATCACAATAGTCAAGTTTACTTTGTAATATTGTTTTATAAAACATAAGTGCAATATTCTGAGATACATAGTTCCTTATTCTTTTAAATAGGTACAGCTTTTTAATAATATCTTTTCTCAGAAAATTAACATATTCATCCCAATCGAGATTGTGATCTATATATATACCTAAGTATTTGCAACTATCTATTTGATTGAGTTTTACATCATTAATATAAATATTAATCGTTCGATTTTTAACTTTGGTTCTAGATCCAATTAACATGACCTCACATTTTTTAGTATTGAGAAATAATTTGTTTGAATTCAACCATTTTGAAAGACGTATAAGATCAGCATTAATGACATTTTCAAAAGTTTCTGTTGTTTTACCAGGGTAATATATGCATGTGTCATCAGCGTACAACGATATACTACATCTTTTAATACAATTTGATAAATCATTAACATATATGGTAAAAAGTAGGGGGCCTAAATTGGCCCCTGTGGAATTCCACAAATTACATTCAGTTCGTCTGATTTTACACCATTTACAACCGTGTACTGTCTTCTATCAGTCAGGTAGTTAAGGAACCATTCACAAGCCCTTTTGTCAAGTCCAATCAATTTCAGCTTATCAAGGAGGATAGCATGGTCAACCGTGTCGAAAGCCTTTTTAAGGTCGATTGTGACCATTCCAACAATGTCCCCTATCTACAATAACTTTAACCATCTTCATCTGGAATGTCATTTGGATTTTTGATGGGATACAACATCGCTAGTAAATATTAATGTGTATTATGTGTAAGTATCTGTAGACTATATGTATACACAGTGCCTTTAACTATATATTGTAACTAATTTACTATATTAAGTGATCTTTTACTGCACATTTCAGAATAAACTAGCAAACAAGTGATTTTGATTAAATTTGAGGAGCACTTTGGATGCAGTACAAAATGTATTATGCTAGATCGATCAATTAAGGTGTGGAATATGTAAGAGTAGATGCTATCTTTGACTTTACAACATATGCTTTTAGTTAAATATTATGTAATAACAAACTATTGTGTTTCATAACATAATGGATTTGAATCTATATCCAGTTCAAATTTGGTTTGCTTGAAAATAAATGCTATTTCTTTCCGAGTAAAGGGAATTTTTGTTCGGCGGCGAATGCTCCTCTTCCTGTTGCATCTTTCTTGATTTATCGAATTGCCGTTGTACCATAATGATAAAACTCTGACATAATAGCTCAAGTACGGGATGGTCTCATTACAAAGCTGCCAATACGCACATAAAGAACAGCAATCATCTCATTGGAACGCGTGGCTGCGATTTAGGGTTGCAGCCCCCCCCCCCCTCCCACCTCTTACGGTGGATTTTCAAAGTTCCAACATTCGGGCAACCATTTCCTTATATTCGGGATATTGAGGTGCCCGATTATCCTTGTGTTATGGCATAGGGTGCCCAAATATATACAAATTCTTCCTAGTGTGTTTTGATGGTGAAACTTTTCGTTTTTAGGTAGAGATCAGGATATGCTCGCTTGCAAAATTCATAAAAAAATTGTTCAGGCAACGAAATGCACGAATATCCTGTTCGGCAGCTCGTTGAACTTCCTAAACATAATTATGGAAGAATGCAGCGGCTTATCAGCTCTGACTTTTCGTTCAGACATTATAGACCACGAATAAGGATTAATCTTAGTAGTGATTCTAGAAGGGGTTTGGAGATCACCCCCCCTTCCCCAACCAAAATGTATACATATATATCATAAGCAAGTTTAGTAAAACTGTTACTTCTGACAGTGCTCAAATTACTGTAGGAGCAAATGTAGATATAGAGGTTGGAAAGGTTCATCTTTATTATATTATATATAATTTTTGCCACCGCACTCCTGCATTTTTAAATGTTTATTCCTAAAAGTAAAAAGTGAAATATATAAAAGATTATATAATGAAATAGAAGTATAAACTGTCCTAGACTGTTTTTGTTATAATTTGTTTGTAGTTAAGTAGTTCATTTCGATATTCACAGAGGTAACATAATAAGCAAGGAAACGAATGAATGTTGATTTCGTTTGTAAAGTGTATATAGTTTTGAAAGTTGCTATATGGTTTTATATTTGTTCTTTGTACAGTTTTATATAATGTGTGTGTAGTGATAATAATAATAATAATAATAATCATAATAATAATAATAATAATAATAATAATAATAATAATAATAACAATAATAATTATAATGATAATAATGATTATAATAATAATAACAATACTGATGATGATATTATATGACACTTCTAAGGCATTTAATCAACTTAAAATTAATGCTCAAGGCGCATTTGTGATACAAACAAAAACAACAACAAAAGAAAAGAAGAGATCCCATTAGCATCGTCATTATAAACAAAGGAACAGAAGCAAGATATAACATACAATAATTAATCATAAAATGCCGAATTAAACAGATACGTTTTAAGATTTTTATCTATGAATGACTGGTGCCCCTATTTTTTTAAAACTAAAAGTGGACCCGCAAATTATCAAATGGGGTTTGGGCCCGGGTTGGGAGGCAATGTTTAAAAAAATATATATCCTAGATCTCAAAGTGATTCAATAGGAAGCCGCGCGCCACGGCCCATGTATTTTTGACCCACCCGGCCAACCCCTTGGAAAATTGCCCATGTACCTTTTAGTATACTCTCCTCACCCCACCCCTCCAAATCAAAAAAAGTTTCCCAAGCTATATACGATTATGATGTCGTTATCGAGGGCGAGTGAAGTGGGTTAGGATAAGTTAGATCCTGCATGACCCGGGAGGGTGTGGTGACTGATCTCGAGCCAACCTATTAGTCAACTCATGCTATAGCTCAGTCCCAAAGCTTAAGTGCAACATTTAAAATTTTCGAGGAATAACCACTTTCTTCAAATTAGTAGATCCGATATTATAGAGGTGGTGATGAAAATAATGCAACTCCATCATCAAACGCAAAATTCCAATTTAATTTGTAGTTCTGTTGATGGCTGAAAGTCCATCGAGTTTAAATTTGCTACTTGAACAAAGTCGCAACTATCAGTGGCGGATCCAGGAATTTCTTACCGGGGGGGGGGGGCACAAAATCGCATGGGGTGAAATGGAAAATGATGGAGCGAAGCGACAACGGCGAGGCGTCAGCGGGGAGGGAGCGGAGCGACTAAGCGGTGGTTGGTCTGGGAGAGGGTTAGAACCCCCTCCGTGAGTAGGAAGCATTTGCAATTTGAGAACCACATTTGGCGCATTAATGTCCACCAACCCAATGTCCACCGGCACTTCCTAAAAAAAACGAGGCCTTCTGATTGGTTAGAAGTTAGAGAAAAGTGATCTGTCGCGAGACGTTGTATATGCTGCGTTGCTGCACAAAGACGGTGATCTGCACCAGTAGTACTTGCAATTTGTTTATCTAGTGTATAAACTGAGTTGTTCTCAGGGGCGTCGCTAGACCTTGGGGGGGGGGGGGGAGTAGCAGTGGCGGATCCAGGGAGGGGGACCGGGGACCTGGCCCCCTCCCCTGGGAAAAAAACAGTTAAGAACACGTTAATTTTACTCTTATCTGGCGACGGGCCCCCTCCCCTGGGCCTCAAGGGTGAGAGGGTGCGATTTTTCAAATTTTCAGGGGCAAAACAAAAATAAGAGTGCTCCTTACCCCTTTCCCCGCTTATTCAGAAGTTTTCAAAATAAATTTTGGATTAGGGATGATCCCCCCTAACCCCCCCCCCCCCCCCCCAAAAAAAAGAAGCTGAAAATGCCATTGTGGCGTCGGTGCAGCTGCCACCCGAAGGCGTCGAAGGCTACTTGAGAAGAGACTAGCCTAGATGCAAGATTGTCGAGGAGGCCTGCACCTGTGAGCTGTGGAATCGGTGTAAAAATCAACTGTTTCAGCTGCTAAACAAAAGGTAAAGTGTTGTTCAAAATTTGTAAAATGTATGCATATTTATACAAAAGTCAATGTAACTGATTTTAAAATGAAATATCGATTGAAACGACCGAGAAATGCAGACTTTAGGTGTTACTTGCACTTTGAAGTCCTCGCTCAGCTCAGGCGCGCGCGGGCACAAAACTCCCCCGTTCCTCCCCGAGAGCTTGTGGCAGAATAGGGTGGTACGTGCCCAGTACCTGCGGTATATCAGCAAGAGTACAGTTGTTACAATTACCACCCAGGCCAGGTCCAGATTGGGTAGGGAAAATATAAATGTCAGTATGCTCATTAAAAAAAAGAATAAATGTGCCTGCATGTTAAAGAAAACAAATGAGAGGGGATATTCATAATTTTTTTTAAATTGCAATTTTAAAAAGTCAATGGTGCCACCCCAAAAAGGGGGAGGGGCTTTTTGTTTGGCTTAACTTTAGAATACCCCACCAATATAAATATGGTTAATGTACATAAACATAAAAGACCTAGGGTTAGGGTTAAGGTTAGAGTTAGGATTAGGATAAGTTGTAGTGTTACTTATAAAGTTTAAGTCTCGAGATTTAGCTTCATTGGTGAATTTTTTGGTACCCTACAAACATTTTGTCAATTTTAGTGGTGGGGTATTCTAAATTTGTTCCGAACAGAAAATATTTTGTCAGAGTCAGAATGGTAAATAAAATGCAGTTCATAATATTTTAGTTTGTACAAGTGGAAACTAAAAGAAAAGAAGAATGAAATAGATTAGGGTCTATAATATGAAGACTGATCTAAGACCAGGGAGTTGGAATGGATGGAGACACCGTCTGAGGGAAAGATATTCAGGGTTAACTTGGATTAACAACAAGAATTTTAACCCTCTCCAGCCATCAAATCCATTATCACCAAATATTACGGAATGTTATTCAATGCTGCATGTCTGCTTCCCTAAGTTCTCTAAACACTCGGTCGGAGGAATCGAGCTTAGAAGTCATAGTCTACTCAGTGAAGATGTATAGTATATTCAGCATTGCCTTGTGGAGAAAGGGCCAAATCAGCCTATGAAGGAGTAAGGTGACCATTCAGACAACCCCCTCCTTCAGTGCAGAGTCAGTTGGCCATTTGTCTCAAACTGGAAGCCTAATAGTTATATACCAATCAAACAGTTATTAATTGTTATACAAGTAGGAGGCTACAGTTCTCATGACTATGAGGGTTTGTGGCCTCAATTAGGAAGATGAAACATTTCTGCTCAAATATCTAAACCTGATGATGACAATTATTTGTTTCTACAAAATGTCATGGTTGGGTTCAAAGTGACTGTACCTCATCATCTTGGAGCCAGAAGGGCATCAAAACATTTAACATATGTTACTTAGATTTAACGACCTTTTGCTTCTCAAGCACAATATAGTCTAAAACACTGTGCCATTGGATCTCTTCCTTCATTTTAGCTGATTAGCTGTCTACAGAGGTTGTAACCATCCATACCTCCATCAAATGACTGTACTTCCATCTTCTCTGATTCCATCTCTGCGGCCGACATGAGGATATAAGGTATGGCAACAATGTCCAGACTGAGAGCGGTTCTGATAGACCTCAGTGGGACCATACACATAGAGGATGCTGCCATACCAGGGGCAGTAGCTGCATTACAACGGTATATATTGTCACTTTTATTCTGTATTTGTATTTTAACTATTGAAGAACAAAAATGCATTCAAGAACAATATTGCTAGTACCGATGATAATGGGTTCTTGTATGGTGCTCATGTCTGTAACATTAGCCATTCTTGTTGCTCCAATAGTCGTAGTAGTAGTAGTAGTAGTAGAATGGTTTTATTAGAAAAACTGCAAAATGGTAGCCGAGAGCTAAATTACATTGCAAGTTTTACAAGCTCAGTTTTAAAAGTATTTCAACAAAACTTAGCAAGTACAAATAATACACAGTAAAATAGACTTAAGGATGGCTGCTATTACGGTGCTCTAGCCTGAGAAATTAATCCCTGTCGGGTACCTGTTTACTTCACCTGGGTCGAGTGTGGCAAATGTAGATTGATGCCTTGCCAAAGGATGTTAGTTGTCTGTCAGGAACTTGAACCCCGTACCCTGTGATCCATAGTCTGCTGATTTATACAATAATTCCACTCTACCTTAAATTTATTGCAAAAATGAAGATGTAGATTAAACTGTCTTATCATTAACTCTGTTTGAATTAAATTGTTCCAGAACTTGTTACTGAATAGGTTACATACTTTTAGATACTTATAATCTATTCTTCCTTTCTCTTTGAATCTGCAGTCTACGAGAGAGAACTACAAACATCAAGTTTGTAACCAATACCACAAAGGAGAGCATGACCACGCTTCGAAATCGTCTCTCAAGGATTGGGTTTGATATCAAACAGAATGAGATCTTCTCTTCTCTTACTGCTGCACGAAACAAGGTCCAGGAAATGGGCTGTAGACCAATGCTGCTACTCCAAGATAGCGCAAAGGAAGACTTCAAAGGTGGGTAAGAAAACAAAAAAAATAAAATTCTCCTTGTTTCTTATAATTTTACATTAACCTAAAATTGACCTCTATTGCTTTTGTAGAGGATATACAGTTTACCATATTGCTTAATCTCTGAACGTTATTTTAGAAACAAAGAGGGATAAATGTGAATAGAAAATATTAGGTGTAATTTAATTTATTTTAAATTTTTTTTTTTTTAATTTATTTTTGTAACTATTTTTAGCGGGGGGGGGGGGGGGGGGGGGGGGTTAGAGAAAGACTGATTCAAATGTTTTTAATTTTTGTTCTGTTGCTAAAAACCTAGTGTTAGATGTGAAATTTCAGCAGGCTTGTAACCTTGACCTGGGTTAGGGAAAGGTTATCACACATTGGAGTTTATAAGGTGAGGTGAGGTGGGATGAAACAGTTGAATACCGTGAGCCTTCAAGTTATTTTGGTTGTCAGGTTTTGCTCCTTAATGTCACTTTAGGATGCCCTCTCAAGGTGGAAACCATTGCTTTCTTCTCTCTCCTGTTAGATATCTGTACAGATGATCCAAACTGTGTTGTAGTGGGTCTATCTCCGGACAGTTTCAACTACAGAACATTAAACCAAGCATTCAGGTGAGCTATAGCTGGTCAAGGCAGTGAGATCCTTACTTAATCTTGATATATATACAATTAGTAGATACCCCCTCCTCTTTCCAAAGATTTTTAAAGCCCCACTGCTCTACTTATAGCTACTTGCGCCCTCTATATAGCAAACAATGCCTAATCAGTGACTGTTGGTCCCCCATGGTCCCCTTTTTCTTATATTAATTGAGAGCTGATTTGATGAGATAACCACCTATCAGAGACCATGCAGGAAGGTCTGATCCCTCCTGGCCAAACTAGTGCAGATAGGCTTTAAGTGATTGTTACTATACCGGTATGTTTTCTGGTACTCAGCATTACATGACAAAAGGTAGCATTATATGTCAGTCAAATTACTGCATAAAGTCCATTCCAATGTAAGCTGACAAAATGTGAACAGTTTTGTCTACAATCCATATTCATGTTTGGTAGAAAAGGGGATAGGTTTTCAGGATTGTCTGGGCTAGTCTGGGTCCATATTTGTGTCCGTCCAGTGAAATTGTGAAGTGTTTTGTGGAGGGTGGAGAACAGTGGCATAATGAGCAAAAGCATTTGGGGGGGGGGGGGGGGCAGAGAAGAAGAAAAAAAACCCGGAAAATCATGTAAATTTCAGCAACATTTGTAAATCACTGGTATCGAATTAGAAATAAACCATGTTTGAATTTTATTTGGGGGGCAATTCCCCCCTTCCCAAGCCCCCCCCCCCATCAGTATGCCATTGGTAGAGAATATAGTTTGTGTCCTCATCCTAAATGTTAGGTGTCAGCAGATGTCATATCTATTTCTCTCAAATGTAGGAGATTTATATTATCTACGTCTCTCTTTACATTTGTTCTGTCACATAATTAGTTTCTTTTGTATAAAATAGCTGTATAACTTGCTTATCACACCTGTGAATGTAAATGAACAAACTCTTAAAGTTGAAACTCTCAAACTTGATACAAATGTCCTACTACAGCAGTGAATGAACCACTATTCTAATGCTGTCCTACATTTGCTCTTGTGTGTCTTCTACAGATTAATCCTTGATGGCCATCCCCTTATCGCGATTCACAAGGCCAAGTATTTCAAGAGGCAAGATGGACTAGCCCTTGGACCAGGAGCGTTTGTGGAAGGGTTGGAGTACGCGACAGGGGTCAGGGCTACGGTGGTGGGCAAACCAGAGAGGGCGTTCTACCAAGAGGCTCTGAAGACGATGTCCTGTGTACCTGAAGAGGCAGTGATGATTGGAGATGTATGTATCCTTGGATATAAAAAAAAATTACCTCTAGGCAAAGTGATGATGTCAAATGACTAGATATCAAACTTTAAGGTAGGACTCTCTACTAGACGTTCATAACTGTATCTGCCAAAAATTTGTATAGGTTGCAAAAGGAGTTGTGTGCTCTGTGGGAGACTGTTTGCTTGTCTTTGCTTAGGGATTTGTAATATTTCAGTGCTTTAGGACTTCTTTGGCAACTCTCTTTTGCCAGGCATGTACCAATAGAAATCTGTGACAGTAAAGTTGAAAATCATATTTCTTAACTTCCATTATTTTGTTAATTATTTTATTTGCAACTTTTGTTAAAATTTTTCTTTCAATGAAGTTTATTAAAGAAAGAAAAATATCACCTTTTTACTGTGTAGTGTTTTACATTAAAAGAATGAGTGTATGTGTAAGGACAAAAGAAAATTCATTACATCCTTTTTTTTGTAGGATGTGGAAGGTGATGTACAAGGAGCACAGACAATCGGCATGAAAGGCTTCCTTGTGAAAACAGGTAGGAAAGCTCTTTTTGTTTGACATATTGCACCGTGATTGTGCTTGGCAAGGTTCTTTCAAGAAAATACAATCTCAACTCTCTTTGTGATCATACCAAGTATAGAAGAATTCACCAAGAGAATTGTACCATGGGCAGATTGTCCCCGATTTTAGTAATAAATATGGCTATGTCTATACTTCAACCTAAAAATATTCTTTAGTCCTCACAAATTATTCCCATTGGGTTGCTGCAAGGTCAAACTTTGCACAAAGTATAAGTAACAAGCTTTTGCATAGAACCCAGCAGGAGGATATGAAGAAAGAATCGTTTGTAGTACCTGGTGTTAAGGTTTAATAGTGCTATTAACAAAGAATAAGAAAAAAACTGTGCCTTGTAGCCAAAGGACAAGGCACATTGTTTCTCAGTATACCATAGCTCAAAGTGTGTTCAATTTGGTGAAAGAAAAATTACACGACTGCCTCTAACCAATGAATATACACAAAGTTCAATTCAATTCTTTATTCAACCAGTATAAAACAATTTACAATGAAAATATACAATAAACAATATAATGGCTAGGACCCCTTAGAAGCAGAAATCTGCTTGTAATCGGGCCCTGTAACAAATAATAACAAGATAATGAACATAAAATAACAATAAAAAATAAATTTCTTCAATTAAAATTTCACAAAAGTTACATTACCATGTCGGTTTCCCGTTTTCAGATATCATCAGAAAGATAGGACAAAATGCATGATAGGTGATGCTGTAGAAAATGTGTTCACGTACAAGAATTGTGGGACAAGGCCTTTACTTGTCAGTATTGATGTGAATATAATTGGAAATATACTATTATTTTTCATTAAAGGTACTATGTCCCATTTGCAGGCCAAAAAAATGAAAAGGTTAAATTAAACGGCATTTGAAAGATTTTACTAATTTAGAACTTCCCTAAAAAGGTGGGACTTAAAAATGTCTTCCAAGTGGGAAAATAACGACTATTAGTTGTCAAATCGACGTAGGAGCTATAGAGCCAATAAGTAATAGTCTTGATTTTCAGACCATTGTACCGAATGGTCATACGTTTTATGCTGCGCAAAGATTCAATCGGTTTAATTTTGGCCATCACAAGAAGTGGGTTATTGATGTAGGCAAATGCTCATGTACCCTTTACAGCTACTTTTATGTATGTTATTACCAAAGAAGAAAAAAAGCCAGTCAGTCACTCAATAGTGTCTGACAGTGAAGTCTAGCAAGTAAAGGGGTTTCCTCGCATAATTTGAATATTAGGACACTGCTAATGTTTAAATTTCACAGATATGACATACATGACAAATTCATAATTCCTGCAAAGTTCTACAGAATTTGAGGTTGGCTGCAAAAGGGACATAGTACCTTTAAGATCTTATGTCTATCATATGCTTTAAACAAGAATGACATTCTTGTTTCAGTAATGTATACATGTATGTCAAGATTGATGTCTTTTGTTTTCTCTTTCATTTGATGCAGGGAAGTATAGACTTGGTGATGAAGAGAAGATATCTCCACCTCCAGAGGCGATATGTGAGGACTTTCCTGCTGCTGTTGAGCTTTTGCTGAAGGAATACTTATGACAGGATACCACATGAAGTGAATTAGTGATTCATGTATACATTTTCATCATGCTTATTACGGTATAACTTATTGTGCAATCTCTAGTACTTGCAACATTATGCAAGTCAGTATTCATGAAAGATATGATCACACTGTGAAAATGAATTGTGCCTTTCTTAAAGAGGTGGCAAAACAGGAGGAAAGGATGGAACTTTTCAAGCATCAAGTGTTTCTTCTTTTGGGGGGGGGGGGGGGGGAGGAGGGGGGGGGGGGGTCAGCCCACAAAATGCCAGATTGGGTACCGGTAGTTATTTTGCTCAGCAGTTTGTGATATTTTGTTGTTAATTCATTCGTTTTCCATTAACACTTGTTCATACTGATAAAATCAACTTTTATGTACATTATATCATGACATTGGACTTTTCATTGCTTCTCTAAATTCTACAAATGTTGTTTATTTAATACAAATTGTGTTACTTATTTTTTTATTGTATTTCTTTTTGAAAATATAATGGTTTATATTATGTTCTTTTTGTTGTTTTAATGACTTTGTGTTGTGTGAACTCATTTGTTTTGTTTTGTTATTGTATCAAATACTTCATTGTACTTTAAGAGATGCAAACTTTTGAATAAGACACATAATCCTGACTAAAGAATGTCATTTAGAGTAGGTCCAAAATGGTCTTATATATATTTGCACCACAGGTCAGATATATTTTACTTCTTTCTTGAAGAAGACACCAAGGAAGGGTTTCCACAAATGACTAATTGAGTATCCAAAATTCATGGTATAGGGGTCTACCTTCATATTATACTGTATAGTATCTATCCTGCTTCAAAATTCCCTTCACCTGTTGTATAGAACCCCATGTAGTAAGTGTGATGATTATTGTTATCAAAATTGAATTGGTCCATTTATCTAGTCATCCATAATATCCTGAGCTAAATAAATCTCAGTCATCATGTTAATGCAAAAATAATCAGATATTACTGGAGATCCTTGTAAAATATAATGTTCTATGCCTTGCAAGTTTTTATTGAAAAGGAAAAAGACAGATCCAAGCTTTTGATAACATGACTGATATTTTGTGGAAGAACATTTCTCTTTTGAGCTACAATTATGAAACAGATTACTCATTTGAAATGGTTCCATATTTTGTTGTATGATGTAGTATATAACTTCTCTGAAACAAATAGAATAGCTGATTATTGTCAGATTCATTACTGGCTTCTCCACTTATGCTTTCTTCATATTTCTTCATATTTTATTCTTTATTTGTTTGTTTATTAATTTATGCTTAAGGTTATTAAGGTTTGATTTTAATTATGCTAGTATAGGCCAACATATACATGCCCTTTAGACTGGGGGATCATGATCTTAATCTTAGTTGAGATGATTAAGAACTCAAAATAATTTGCAAGATACTCTTAATTACGACATCACTAAAATAAAAGAACACAAAAATGATTGATGTGGATCGAGAGAGATCGAGAGACAGACAGAGAGAGAGAGAAGGAGAGAGAGAGAGAGTGAGAGTGAGAGAGAAAGGAGGGGGGAGTTGTGTAAGAAGAGAGAGGGAGAGAAAGAGGAGAGAAACTGATTATTTTAAAAAGAAAATAAATGTTCATAGGCCTTTTACTGGTATGCAAGGTCTAGAGAGAAATTCAATCAAGAGAGGAAATTTCATAAAGTAGAATTGACCATATTCAGATGTTTGAACGATTGACTGCATGGATAGGGAGTAAAATGTAAGACGAGATTTTGAAGAACCGTTGTGTTTATATCTCAACTTAATTTCTAGCATAGCGTTAGCTAATTACCCAGGGCCAGTATAGCGTAAAGAGCAAAAATTTGTCAGCAACATTTGTAAATCCCCATATGGCATCGAATTGGAAGGGGGAAAAAAAAAATTGAATTTTTTTTTTTTTTTTTTTGGTGGGGGGGGGGGGGAGGGGGTAGTTCCCAAGCTCTCTCTCTCTCTCTCTGCTCCATATTTCTCTGGTATAGGCCTAGCAGTTGTTTTAATGTTATGTATTTCCCCCTATTAATTTGTATTTTTTATTGCTATTTCTTGTTGAAGGGTACATTAATAATTAAACATAACATAATATTTCCACCTTTTGTGAAATCGTTATAGTCGAAAGCGACTTGAAAAAAGACTGAAAATTGTGAAGCATGAGACTGAAATATACGCTTATTTACAAGGTACTTGGAAATTGTGTAGATGATAGTCAATGACATTCCCGCCGTTTCGAATTTCGGTCGATTAGTTCAACAATTGAGGTATGCAAACTACAATCATGGCAGAGTAAGTTTCACTGTCAGTACATTACTTGTTTGTTTTGCAGAGTTTGTAATGAAAAATTTAATTTTGAGTGAAGAATAAGTGTGTTAAAGATGTGAAGTAATTCATGACAGGATTGTTTTGATCGTGCCGCCCAATCTTAGCGCGTAACCTGCGTCAGATTCTCGCGGGTATCTCTTCTTGGGCTCCCTGGATGGATCACGACCGGTCAGCCAAGCGCAAACATGCCAGAAGTTTCCCGTAGGACTTGTCGAGCTTTCGCCGTAGCCATAGCATTCGCGCGGCGCGCTGCGCGCCGGTTTTTTTATTTTTTATGGCTAACTGTAATGTAACAGTCAATTTACTGAAAGATCGAATGAAAGGCGATCAGTTTTACGATATCAAAATCCTCAAGTCTATTTAACTCAATTAGAATGTGAAATCAGGACTGAAAGTGAAAGAAAAAGATGATAGTTTTGGAGAGAAAAAAGAAGACTTTTCCTGATAAGAATTTGAATTAAAAAACATTTGAATTAATTTTGCTTGAGTTTAATTTAAAATTTTAAGTAGATCTAGGGTCTAGACTAGACTCTAGTTAGGAATAAATAACGGTTCACTCAACCACTTCAACTTGTTGTGTTAGTTAGTGGGAGCTGCCAACTACTGAACTAGTACGGATTTCCCGTAATTGGTACAGAAATTAACGATCATTGCGGCAGTGAGGAATGTTTTCTAAAATTATGGATTACATTTTTTTTTTTGGGGGGGGGGGCGTAGAGTCTAAATATGATTTATCATATCGAGTGCTGTGCAGTATGGCAACCATCCAAGAAAGAAGTAGAAGTATCAATTATCCTCTTAATAGAAGCAAATTTGTCATGGAAAACTGATGTGTTGTGATAACCTGAAAATTGATGTTCAGCAATTTTGTGTGAGTAAAATCATTAAAAAATCAGAATGATGTGCGCATGAGTTTGCGCAGTTTTGGCGTGCCGTTTTTTTTTTAGATTCATATCGCCGCATATAGTAGGTATTACTGATTTATTCCCAAGGTTACTGATTTTGAGCCTTGTGATTACTGATTTTCTGCTCTGGAGATTGACAGCTCTGCTTACTTGGCTGAAACTTAAAGTTTAAGCCTTTAATTTTATTTGAGCTTGGTGATAAAATATGATTATAAAATATGATTGATCATTCCTTCATCATTCCTTCCTTTCTGTCTTCGCCTGTCTCTCATTTTGTAGCTATGGAGATAGAAAGATTAAAGATGCCCAGATGAGAGCCAGTATCAACCAGAAACTGGTGGAGACAGGAGAGAAAGAGAGGTAATGTACTGATATTTGAAATAATCAAGCCATGACCACCAGGCTTAGATATTAAGATGACAATTAAAAAGGGAACAAAATACCAAGTAGAATATTAAGATCTTATTAAGATCTATTACCAAACTATATGGCCTATATTTTTAGAAAAAAGATAAGGTATTAAACCATCTTGTTGGAAATGTTCACAATTTTAAAACATAAATTTTCAAAATACTGTTGCACTATTAACGAGGGGCAGATCCAGGATTATATTGGTTAGGAAATGCTCAAGTATGAACAATAGACATAAATACACAACTGAGAAGCAAAAATTAAAGATTTTACATCAGGGGTGAAACAGAGCCCATTGTAGTTTAGCCATCTTCAGATCCCCCCCCCTTTTTTTTGGGGGGGGGGGGGGGTTGTTTTGCTCCTCCCCAAAGTTTTCTCCTACTGTACTGGAAACCACCTTCATCTTTTGTTTTGAATAGTACAATTGCTATCGATTGTTATGCTTTAAAAAAACAAATTTATTTATTTTTTCCTGTATATTACTAATAAACATCCAAGAATGTTCTTACAGGGATACTGCCTCTAGATTTATTTAAAGATTGGAAATTAGAATAACTTGAGAAAATGGTATGTTTTGAGTGAAGACCTCATTTCATGGAACATTACAAGCTTTACTTCTTTCTAGTCCTCACTTCTATGTCCTAATTCTGACATACGTGTACGTTCTTATCTTTTAGACTGAAGGAGCTCCTGAGGAATAAACTGATAGAGTCAGGCTGGAGAGATGAACTGAAAGCACACTGTAAAGGTAAGAAATCTTTGGCAAATCCTTTCAGAGAGAGGATTGAGAGTTTTACCAACTAAACCTGGCTGAGTTGGATTGGAGGAGACGGCTTAAAATTCAAGAACATGGTCCTGTTTCATATTATGTGTTATCAGTAGCAACCGCACAGATGTATGACAAATCTGTTCACAGTCAATCAATTGTAAGCATTTTAGTAGCTTGATACAATTATCGTATCTTGTCATTCTTAATTAATACATTTTAGGAAATATGGCCCAGTCTTAAGTGACAAACCCAATGATGCTTTCAATCATTTGATAAGAATATAAAAACGGATTAATGATTTGTTATCATGCATGATATCCATTAAAAAAAAAATTATACATCGATGTTGAATTTTATGAGAAGCATCCCTGATTTAAGATGTTTATACTTATAAAGTAAGTGACTGACCAAAAACGGGGGACAGGAAGGGTATATTTTATGGTTGTATGGAGCTTCAAAAAGTACAATGTGTATTTTGACACATTAAACACTTAGCACAATATTGGATTAAACCAATGAGAAGCTATGTGCAAATAAAACAGTTTCCAACCGATTAAGTAAACTTTCTCAGAATGTGCAAATAAATGTGATTATGAGGTGATGGCCAAATAATTAACCAAGATTATGAATGATTTGTGGATCAAGATGAAGTTGCCTCCAGGTCCTAAAAGAGGTCCTATTTGGTGGTAGCATCTCCAATTCACCATATCTATTTCCTCAAAAGATTGCTTGAATGTATTTGCTGTATATATCATGGTCCATTTAGCCCTTTTCTTCCCGACTGTGATCTTTTTTTTCAGAGGTTGTGAGGAGAAAAGGACTAGAGCATGTGACCGTTGATGATTTGGTTGCTGAAATAACGCCCAAAGGAAGAGGTAAAATCATCATCAACAATGGTTTTAGACTTCAAGTCCGGTATTCATGAAGCCAACTAGAGTTAACGCAATGACTACTGAATTCTCCCATTCCTATAGAATTATTACAGGGGCCATTCAGTAACCATAGGCGATGGGTTAAACAAACATTTTTTCCGCTTCTACTGATTTGAAAAGTGACAAATTATCAATTTTATTATCCTTCTGTTCCTGTGTACTTTAATTTTTTGAAAACCTAGGTATACTCGGGTAATAAGGAGTGCAGTGACCTTTAACAGTTTATGTTAATCTCAGTTGTTGCTAAATTCCATAGAACTTTTGTTAAATATTGACAGTGTATCTTAAAGAGGTAAGACTATAGATCGTTTTCATCAAAAAAGGTGCTTTAGATGTCAAAAGCAATGTAGTATTACTGTACCGTAAAAATTGGCCTCCTTTATACTATAGTGTATGATTTTAATCAATATATTGGGTTTGTGTTTCCATTTCTCTCAGAAAGTTGATTATTTTTTTCTCTGCATGATTTATCATCGCCAGAACTTGTACCCGACGAGGTGAAGAGAGAACTGCTGCATCGGATCCGAGCCTTTCTAGCCCAGCAATCCAACATCTGATAATCCTGCTGCTGCAGCGAGCCGGGTCCATCATGTGTGTGTCCAGCAACTCTCTTGAGGAGCGTGTCAAAGGTCGACTCGCTCACTGCGTGTTTCCAACTCCACCTTGATCTCTGTTCTGTGTCGTCCCAAGTGATTACCTCTACTGTAATGTTGAGTAGGAATGTCGAGAAGGTGTCTACCTCTGCAGCGTTTCATTCATTCATTCAAAAAGAATATATTCATAATACACTCAAAAAGGCAAACAATGGATAAAATGCCTATCGTTTTCTGTAGATTTAGTGCTTTGCCAGCCCATACTTTAGGTAGGATTTTAGAAATCAAGTACTTGTATGAAATCTTGCTAGGGCCCTAGCTGTATCAAAGCCTAGAGACTGCGTCTGAGCATTATTGTCATTGAATGATTTTTCAAGTGTAATCCCTAAACCGCCTATCTGCTTGGAGTGTACTTGGAGAGATTTTGTGGAAGTTCCGTCCCAATTGTCGCAACTCACTAAAAAAGTAATCAGGTTTGTTGACGAGGATCTGATGATTTAATCTTGGGGATTTCACTTTGACACAGGGCAGTATCAATCTGAATCCGTTAATAGGGACTTTTAGATTTGCACGTCGACAGCTTTGACTGCAACGTGTGACGTCATTTTAAGGCACTGGTCATGCGTCACGTCGTCTCAGTCGGCGATCGAGAATGCGTCAACCTTGATTTTCCTAAATCTAGTACATACATACATACAAACATATTGATATTTATATAGCGCCTTTACATGCTCAAGGTACTAGTATATGCATGCCGCGTGCGCATAAAATATACAGTTCCTCAGGTAGACAAAGCCTCACAAAGGAACATCCCTTCCCTGCTATTATGTAAAAATGTGTAGAACAGGTGTCACATGCATATTCACCTGTTCTACACATTTTTACATAATAGCAGTGAAGGGACCACAGCAATAGGCCATTTTCGTAATGTAACCAAATAACCATGCATGCATGTATATTGTCGAGTGCAATCTAAAAGATTTCTGATTGTAGTCAACATGGGCAGTTGAGTACGTTGACACGCATGATCAGTCGGCGTTCGTCGTGTTCTCGTCCACTCAATCTAAAAGTACCTATTATCTGCTAGTGAGACGTGATATATGAGGATTTCATTCTGTGAGATGATCATCATTAATATTATAGGCATGTTTAATAGAGTGTTGAAATATAGTGTATTTTTAATGCAAATTCTGTTCTGTGTATTCAAACTCTATCTGAAAGGGAATAATCTTCAAAAAATTTTGCTCTGAATGTTATAGGTTTTATGCTAGCATGTGATATTCACACTCCCGACCTCAAATATCAGCATCATTTAAGAGAAATCACTGGTTTAAACACTTTCTAAAATAAGGAGGTTGTGATTAGTCTACTTCAAGTAGCATATAATTATGCCCTTTTTTTGACAGCCTGGTGTACTTTTTACTATGTTATTAATCAAATGAAGAAGATGATGAATCCCTCATACTGTCTGTTTGGAGCCAGAAGGGTGTTAAAGATTAAGTTGAGTTCTGGTCATGCGATTGCATTGTGAAAGAAACGGTGTGAAATCGACTAGAAAAGATTGATAATCTAGCATATAAGAGTTTGTGTGTATTGTAAGGTTCTGGAATCATCAAAATGATACGAAATTTGGCCAAGTCTTGGTAAAGTTACCAACACTGTACACAGATAGATGTATATGGGACTACACGAACACGTGGCGTAAAAAACCTACCCCCCAAGTTTTACGAGTTACATGACATATTTAGAATATAAAGGCATTTGAAAAGCCATGCTTTTCAGGTAACATGTCTTATCTGATGTTCTTCCACACTTGCATAATAAGAATGATAACGCTCACAAATTATTTTTCATCTCTTCCCAGAACTCAACCTTCTCTTTAAATCTTGTGTAAGTGCCTTTCTGGCTCCTACTAGATGATATGATCTCATCGTTGACTTCACTGGTTTGATGCAGGCAGTCTTCCATAGTATGTTATTTGTATATGGTGGATGTGCCCGATGTACTTTCAACCACAGATGGCGTGTGTGAATGTAAATCAGGAAGTACTCTAGCTTGGGACAGACTATCCCAAGTCTTGTGATTTATTACAACACTAACATTTGTTTGTGCCAAATTTCAAATTTTTTGCTCATAAAAGACAGGGGAGGTAGAAGTACTCATAGTGGTAGCCAGAATTGCTCTTTAAAAGTGGACCATTATTGTCAAATTGTGTATTTTTTAATGATGTGGGAGGTATCTATATATTTTGATCGACCATTTTCATAATGTAAAAATTATTTCATAGGACAAACATAATGGCCCGAATTCACAAAGGAGGTTTCTTGAAAAATCTAGGTTTATATGCGTCATAGGTTTGTCGACGAACCTCCTTAGTGAATTCGGGCCAATGGCTTGCCCAACAACACATAATGTATCAAAATCGCATTCTGACGACTATTAGAATACAATTATTTGTAATGAGGCACTAAGCATATCATTGGGGGGAAAAAGAAGAGGGACACCTGTATTTGGTTGCCTTAATTTCTTTCTGTAAAAATGTATATATTTCAATTTGTGTAATAAATGAATAGTTTCTGTTTAATTAGTCTTCTATGATCTGTTATTTGGTGTCAATTAACAACTACAAACTAATTTTCTTGAGCCTTTATTATTTATTCTGAAGCCCTTATCCATGTTAAGGAAGGTAGAACATACCATAAACGACAGAATTCATAAATGATTGCACAATTGTTAATACATTAAACATAAATGATATTTACATACTGAAGGTCAATTTTGAAACTTTGAAACATGCCTAAATCTATGTGAATATCAAATTAGATTGTGATGGACAACCCTCCTGTTCCTTCAAAATGCCTTCTCCCTTGGGTCATTATATCATAGGTCCTCTAATAAGGGAGTTTACAGATAGCACATGGTACAAATGACCCCAAATATCCACAGATCTTTTACACATGGAGAAGTTCCACTTTGAGCATCTTAGAATAATAACTGCCAAAGTCCTAGATGTGCTTCATGAATACCTTTTGTTTGCCCTCTTGAAAAGAATACTTCCACCTGAATATCTTAGAATGTACCGTTGGTGCATAAATGAATAATGTTACATAACTTTCATGAGCGCATATCCAGTATTCATCTCTGGTGGGTTATACCTTTTTGGTACAAATGACCTTTATCTGCCCAGATTGTATCTGTAAACTCCCTTATAAGGAAACAAAATATTGGTATTTTCTATACATGTAATGCGATGTACTGTGTGTAGAATCTTTTAAATTCTTTTGTTAACAGATGTACTCAAATTGACAAAATTATGAATCATAGGCCATGGCTGTACATGAACAAAAGATGTAAACCAAGTGCATTTTTTTTTCCTTGTACCCATTTCAATTTAAAAAGGCCATTATTGGCAAGTTAAGCATTCAAAATGTGGATAAGAAAATTCTGCATAATTTGCTTTCTGAATGAATAAATACCTGATACATCTCGAGTCGTATCGGACCGTTCCAGGGTATAGGATTCACAAAATCAAATGGAACACATTATACAGTGTAACAAATTACATTTAGATACATGTAGGCAAGATTTGAAATTACCGTACTGCAGATATTAGATGGTTCATTCTTTCAATACCGGTAATACAACCTCCCCACTGGAGTTATACATTTTTAAGTAGATTAGATAATTAGTGTTAGCAAGGTGAATTAAACATACTTCTGGTTTTTGTTTACATCTACCAATATTAACTGCTTGGCATTTCTAATTAAGGTTAGATTTGATTACATTGTATCATCATACCTACACATACATAGTTAGTTTATAGGAATTAATCCAAAAAGACTTGTCTCGCAAAACAAAATCTTGCTTTCTACAGTAAGTCTAAATCCTCCCTAATTATTTTCTTCAAAATATAATGATCATGTGTATTTTTGCTACAGATGTTGTTGCCTTTTAATAATTGGCCAGTTCATTTGATATATGGTACCTCTACAACAATATGTGGTTGCTGGAAATCAAGTTCGAATAAATATGGAATTGTTCTTTATTTTAGCTATGTAATAATTAATTTAAATTGTTGCATTCATTTGTAAAACTGTCAGTAAACACCGAAGAGATAACCTTCAATGAACTTTGTTGTCTTTATTAGACAAAGATTGCAAAAGCTCCATTGCAAAGAAAAATCAACACTGACTGATAATGGAAAACACTTCAGCAAGAAGAAAATGCATGAGGCACTTTGGTATAATAAAGAAAATTAGTTGAGGGCTTTGATGCGTAGGCTACTGACAGAGGAGTTGCAATACATATTGTTAGTCGCCTTGATGGATCTCTTTCTTTTTTTTAACCACCTCCTGTTGATACACGGCTTAATTACTTCACATATTATCCTTTTCCTTTACAATGGGTCTACATTGATACAACATAAAGTGTGAGTTGGGTAGTATTGGCAAATAGGCATGAATATTACACTTTAATTCATAAATAAGAAATGCAGAAAATTCAAAGAAGATTAATTAAATACATTGCATATTCAAACTGATTTGATTTGAATTTCTCTTACACCTTCTTGCCTAAGGATGAGGATATAAAAGAGTTTCAATAATATTAGATCTGGGACCTGGAAAAAAAGCTTTTTTTCAATGACAAATGACAAAAATCAGTGACAACTCTGCTGATAACCAATCAGAAGCAAGGACTTCACTAGCTCATTACAAAAAAAACTGTTGTTAGTCACTGATGACAAGTTTTGTGAAATGGGGCCCTGGCATGTTAATATTCTTAACATCCCAGATATACACAATGGTAATTTTTGTGATAACTTAACTCACATAAAAATTGCCATATAAGACCATCTACATATTGTTCATCTGTTTTTAACAAGGAGTAAAATGAAATACATCTACTGGTTTAAAAAATAAAAGGCCATAAATCGGCAACTGAGATTTTAGACAAAATCATTGATACAACAAAATAACAATTTGGGCAGCCTTGCCCATATATAATTTCCCCCTCTAATGCCTACACCGAATATAATACCCAAAATATATACAACAATTTCTCTCTTCTGAGAATACAATTAAATCATATTCAATGCAAAGTTACCTACTGGTACTATTCATGTGTGCGATGGAATGTAAGAATGATATTAAGCTTCAGTATTGAATTCAATTCAATTAGCCTTTGCCACAAGCAATTTAACTACAACAGTTTACAGATAATAAAATGCAGCTTAAAATCTAATAAAGTTCCTGTGACCTTATCCCCTGAATATTATTTGACTTTGGCATAACATATACTCTCCTTGGACCCCAGTTAAGTATACAACAGATGAACACTTAAAATAAATTGAGATGATTATGCTTCTGATCAACTTGTTGCATCGACATTCAGTGTACCTCACAGGTTATACCCAAAACATATTACAAAAGTGAGCTAAAAGCAATACAAGAATAAGTACAGTATGTAAGAATCTAGAGAGCATGATACGGGTGACATCAAGATGGAATCCATGAAGGAGTTTTTAAGTACTCAAAGATGGTGCCTACCTCTCTATAAACAACCTCTTCTCAAAACAGCACACATGTAAAATAAGTATTGCCAAAACTTCTATTTTTAATCAGTGTATCATCTCTTTATAGTCAGAAGCGTATTAACCTGTTCACTCCAGAATTCTATCATTCCCATTATCTTAAAACAGGACCCATCCCGTTTCCAGAGGCAATGGGTTTAATCATACATGTATGTGGATTAATTAAACCACAATCTCTTATCAGTATATTATTTGCTATTATTAAAATAGAAGGGCATTTAATCATGTCATTTTGAATAGACTTGCTGCCCATCTTGTTCAAATATTATTGTTCATCATTCAGATGATCTACAAACCGATGTGTGTTGACTGGATGTTAATAAAGAACTGTCCAACTTCAGACTGCACGTGTATCGGTTCAAGCCCATCTTGCTTTAAGCAGAGCAGTTCTGCATGCCATCAAGTTGTGTAAAACTGAGCCCGAGTGCGGCTCTGCACACTAGTTGGTGAGTTCTCATGAGCTTTTCCAGACGATGATCTTTGCATCCTGACCTCCTGTAACCACTGTGGAACCATCAGATGATACCTGGATACAGTTTACTGCTCCTATTAAAACATTATGGGAAAGAAAGAAAGAAAGAAATGCTACAACAACTCTCTACACAATGTGACCATATAGGAATCATTTTTCAAAAGAATACAATGAAATAAAAATAAATATTTAATTCCATTTCAAAGAGTGACTTATAGGAATCTATTTAAATTAAAAAAAAAAAGAATTATTTTATTTCAAAGTACAAATGTATATTTCACATCCAATATATATTCCCAACTATTTGCAATTCCTGATTTAATTCACTATAGAGAGTGCTTTTTGTTGACAATCACTTTAATGAGGATCTATACCGGTATTTAAAAAATACACAAAAAACATGAATTAGCTCAAAAACGTGTACTTTACATTTTCTTATACCAAATTTCTGGTTTATCTCAAGAAATGATTTGGAACATGGCGACATATAGGACAGAATCAATCTTCATTACATACTGATTAAATTTCCAATTCCAATATATTTACCTATATGTTGATTGAATGATGCTACTAACTGAGCCTTGGCCATGTCCCACACCATAAGATTCCCACCTCCATCACCGGCGAAAAGAATATGATCTCGCCAACATAAACACCTTCATGACAAAAGAAAACAAAAGAAAAATCAAGCCAACATAAACACCTTCATTGCAAAAGAAAAGAAAAGAAAGAAAATGATCAGTCAAACTGGATCGCATCAGAGCGATAATTACCCCCATGTTATCAGAAATAACAAATCTTCAAGGATCATATTTGTATCATATTTTCTGGTAGAGAATATTATTCTCACACTTAGCAAACACCTCTGTGCCCATGTTCACATCGATCACTCTGATATAGCTATCCTGACCCTTCCATCCTTTGATGTCTTACCTCACTTCATGTTCCCCATCCTTAGCAAACACCTCAGTGCCCGTGTTCACATCGATCACTCTGATATAGCTATCCTGACCCTTCCACCCTCTGATGTCTTACCTCACTTCATGTTCACCATCCTTGGCAAACACCTCTGTGCCCGTGTTCACATCGATCACTCTGATATAGCTATCCTGACCCTTCTACCCTCTGATGTCTTACCTCACTTCATGTTCACCATCCTTAGCAAACACCTCTGTGCCCTTGTTCACATCGATCACTCAGATATAGCTATCCTGACCCTTCTACCCTCTGATCTCTTACCTTACTTCATGTTCACCATCCTTAGCAAACACCTCTGTGCCCGTGTTCACATCGATCACTCTGATATAGCTATCCTGACCCTTCTACCCTCTGATGTCTTACCTCACTTCATGTTCCCCATCCTTAGCAAACACCTCTGTGCCTGTGTTCACATCGATCACTCTGATATAGCTATCCTGACCCTTCTACCCTCTGATGTCTTACCTCACTTCATGTTCCCCATCCTTAGCAAACACCTCTGTGCCCGTGTTCACATCGATCACTCGGATATAGCTATCCTGACCCTTCTACCCTCTGATGTCTTACCTCATTTCATGTTCCCCATCCTTAGCAAACACCTCTGTGCCCGTGTTCACATCGATCACTCGGATATAGCTATCCTGACCGGCAGAAGCCATCTGTTGACAATCTATGAATAGAGAAATATGAAGGGACACAAATGATATTCAAAACTTGAAATTTAGTGATTGCGGCACCATCCTCTCGAACCCAACAATGAGAAACCACACCCAAATGACACCCCCAATGAGTAAGAATATGACAAACATATTGCATTAAAAATCAAGGATCACATGCAATTCAATCACCGAAGAATGCTGATGTTTAACGGTTTGATGTCTAATAAAAATTATTTTAAGAGATACTTTTGAATAACATAAGAGGCAATCAAAAAAAAAAATTACAGTGTAGTTGAACAAATCAAATAAATGTTATCAGAAGTCTTTCTATAAATGATTCTACAACAATTTTGTAAATGCTGGATTGACATAACTTCCGAACTGTACTCACCAGGACTGAATATCACAACATTGACTGGTCCATGGTGGCTCTGGAAGTGACGTAGCGCCACCTGGTGTTCAACGTTCCACAGGTTGACGTCCCCGTCTTTGGTACCTGTCAGTAGGAGGCTGCCATCTTGGCTCAGTTCTGTGCAGGTTACCTGGATGGACATGTTAGAATGAATGCTTGTTCAAATCACCAAAATTTAACATTACCTGTAAGTTGGTTTGGTAAAGTCTGATCAAAGGAATGCATGGTAATTGAGGATTAATGGCTAGCCCGAGTCAGAGATTGCAAATTATTGGTCCCACAACAGTTAGTATTGTTTCAATTATTCCACAAAAAAATGACTGTTCTAAAGAGAATGAGAATACATGTCCTCCAGAAGAAAAGGAAGGGAGCTACTGCCAGTTGGCTGGGCCCAGGGGGGGAATTGCCCTCAGTTCCTGTTCCTTTTGAAAGCTGTTTTAAAATCATGAATTGTATGGGATTCACTATGTGTACTTCTTTACTTTGTGTTTTACAAATAATTATTGAAGGTTTTTTTTCTATAGAAAAAACTAGATGGAATTTTGACTGCGCGCAGTCGAAAATGATGCCTCCGCCATAGAGCAATTTAAACAAGTTTGGAGTTTAAATCTCCAGTGGTTCTTGAGATATTATGATATGGTGATACATACTATCATTAAGTTTGAAGTGAAAATTCTCCAGTGGTTCTTGAGATATCGCGATAACGATCTCAATGTATGGAATTTCATAAGTTGACCTCTGTGACCCTTGACCTTTGACCTACGTGCTCCAAAATCTAATCAGATTGTTTTCCTATAGTGATACACACTATCATTAAGTTTGAAGTTTAAATCTCCAGTGGTTCTTGAGATATTATGATAACAATCTCAATGTATGGAATTTCATAAGTTGACCTCTGTGACCCTTGACCTTTGACCTACGTGCTCCAAAATCTAATCAGATCGTCTTTCTATGGTGATACATACTATCCTTAAGTTTGAAGTTTTTACATCTCCAGTGGTTCTTGAGATATCATGATAACAATCTCAATGTATGGAATTTCATAAGTTGACCTCTATGACCCTTGACCTACGTGCTCCAAAATGTAATCAGATTGTTTTCCTATAGTGATACACACTATCACTAAGTTTGAAGTTTAAATCTCCAGTGGTTCTTGAGATATCATAATAACAATCTCAATGTATGGAATTTCATAAGTTGACCTCTGTGACCCTTGACCTTTGACATACGTGCTCCAAAATCTAATCAGATCGTCTTCCTATGGTGATACATACTATCCTTAAGTTTGAAGTTTAAATCTCAAATGGTTCTTGAGATATCGCGCTAACAATCTCAATACAAGGAATTTCATAAGTTGACCTCTGTGACCTTTGACCTACGTACTCCAAAATCTAATCAGATCGTCTTCCTATGGTGATAAATACTATTCCCGAGTCTTAAGTTTAAATCTTAAATGGTTCTTGAGATATTGTGATAACGGTCAAACGGGACGGACGTACGGACGTACGGACGGACAACCCGAAAACATGATGCCTCCGGCACCACCTTCGGTGGCGGAGGCATAAAAAAAGAAGATAATAATATAGTACAGTAAGCTACTAGATACCAATATGTGTAGTAGCTAGTATGGTGCAGCACTCTTACAAACTATATGGATGGTCACATATATGGTTATCCTGGATTACAATTTACACAGAGACAAACTTACCCCTGAATCATGGTCCAGCTCTGTGAGAACATCAGCCACTATCCTCTGGCCACCTCCGTTGAGGCCCTCGCCTGCCCATAGCTTGACCGTTGAATCCCAGGAGGCAGACGCAAAGATGGAAGAGCCCTGCTGCCAGCAGAGGGCGGAGACTGCATCGTCGTGGGCGGGGATTACCTCCAAAACACGCCCATAGTCCACTGAGTATACATATCTGTGTGGTAGTCAAATGCAGGTTTGATGATGTAAACAAGATAAATAGAAAAATAAATAAAAAAATAAAAATTCCATCCAAAACCGTCTTACAAAACGAGTCTCAACAACTAGGAAAATAACTTCATAAAGTTACAATTCCTCATCTAAATGGTCCGAATGTGGACAAACTACAATTTCTTTTGAAAATCAAACTTAGAAGAATACTACTACAGAGAATTTGAAATCTCATCGTGTACATGAACATATACATTATACTATTATACTCCATAAATGTCAATTTTTATCCTTTTATTATATTTCTCATGATAGTTGACATTTATTTGTCAACATTATTACATAGTACTACTCTCCTCATTACCTGTCAAGGTTCCAATGATATAACTATAGCTTTCGAGTCGAAAAGCAGCCCACTAGCAATCAGTGATTTATACCAGCAGAAAAAGGCTGGCATAAATACTAATAAACAAGGCCAGTAGTACAGTCTTCAGTATTACATGTTAGGTGTTGTGTTGTAAGATTTATGCCCTTTCTTTATGAGTGTGTGTCTGATGTTATTTGTAATTCAAATCACATGATTTGCATCTTTCCCTGTTAGCCTGTTACATGTATCTGTACTCTGGCCTTGCCTGCTCACTGCATCCACAAGATACCTTGGCACAAGCTGCTTATATACCCTACCAAGTTTTATGTCTCACTTTTTCCAGTTACTCCTTAAAACCACTAGTACTTACAACCACCCCATGGGTAGGAGACATGCATACATTTGATTGAATGTATACATAAACATTGTCAGCAGAATTAATGAATATCAATGAACCTTAGTACTAAATACTTCTACACAGAATGTGAATTGATACCGTAGAAGCTTGTTCTGGTAGTAAACTATTTCATTCACCTGTTCCATGCTATTGTCAGAATGCAGATTGCAGGCATTAACAATGTTAAATAATCAGCTGCAAGCCAGTTTAGAAATGATAATGTGGTAAAGGCATAATACTTGAATACATTTGCAAGCTAGTCTATCATGGTTGTTTCTTCCCCCATTTAACAAGTATTCACTATTTAAGTCGCACGTTTCAAAGCAAGGTATTGTTACTTGTTGTTATGTCGGGCAATCATCTGTACAACACCTGCCAAGCTCATTGTTACTCTAGTAAAGGCATGCATACATCTAAATCATTTGTGAACTGGTCTATTGGATGTTTTTTGCCCAGTGACTCAGTGATAAACTAAAGGTTTATCAGGTTTATCTTAACCCATTAAGGTACCTATTCAATAAAAAAGGCCACTTTTCCAGCTAGTGTTTTACCCCTCTAACTACTGAATTCTCTCATCCCCATAGACTTAATACAATGGTCATCCAATTCCTGTAGGCAATGGGTTAAAACCCCGGCCCCCCCCCACTCAGTGTTATTTAGGGTACGCATATGCGTGTTCCAACCGACCCCCCCTTTTCAGCAAAAGTCCGGTGTGTAAAGTCAATACGGCTCGACCTTTTTCTTTTGTATACGAGCCTTTTTCAGCATCCCCCCCTTTTCAGCAAAAGTCCGGTGTGTAAAGTCAATACGGCTCGACCTTTTTCTTTTGTTACGAAAAGGACATTTTGGCAACACGCATGCGGTCATTTTGAAACCTGAGTGGGGGGGCCGGGGTTAAAACAATGACATAAGCTGACCCCTGGATGACCTTTAGCCTTCTGTGTCATGAAGTGTTCATAGCCGGTAGGTTAATATGATGTAAAATGAACTGTTTACTATTCTATTGGGATACAAAAACAGTCATAAAAAAAATGTGTAATTTTATCCCCACGAGAATATCTCATGACTCACATTGAGTTATCCCATGATGCAATGAGTGCATTCTTGTCGTCAGGGGTGATTATCACACTGGACAGGGCCATGTTGGAGAGGCTGACGCTCCGCAGCTGACGTTGGTCTTCTAACGAGTACATCTTCAGCTGCGTATCTGTCAGGTGTAAGAAAAAGAATGACATTCAGGTAAACAAGATATTCATAATCTTTAGTTCATTATCTTTAGTTTGATTATGCATTATCATGCACCTTTAGCAAAATCATATTTTTATCACAGAGTCACTAAAATGTTGAATACATACTAATCAAAGGTATCTAAAATTTTCTATTTTCTAAAGAAAGAACTCTATGAACCACTTCTTCATCAAGCATCAAAACCTGTCAACTTAGACAGTCAAGTGAGCCACTTAATTGCTAAATGAGTTACTACAATACCACTTGCATGTGTACACTCAAATGTTTTTTTTCTAAACTGTAAATAGTTTGGAAAATACAGGGTCATTATAAAGATGAAGTCACCACCGAGTAATAAGGAGGTATTGCTACACCTTTCTTGTAATGAAAAAAAAGTTGATTTTATTTGGGGTCATTCTGAATTTCATTTTTTCTTCAAACTTCTGATAGTATTAAGCCCTGTCCAAGGTATACAGTGTACATGTAAAGTGCATAATAACTAGTCTTTAGCATTGCAATAATCACCTTTGGAGACTGAGAAGACCGTATTGTTGTTACTTGAAAGCTTTAGATCACACACAGAACTGGAGGGAAAACAAAGGTAAAAGTTCTATCAATGCTGCACTTAAACTTAAATTGAAGGTATAGTTCAGTCCCTGCATCATTAGTTATTATGCAGAAGAACATAAAAGTTTATAAATGCCTCATATTAGAGTTGATGGATATGACTTTTTTTTTAAATCATAAAATTCTACTGATGGAAGGTAAAAAGAAAAAGAAATTGCCGCTTGCATATACTGATACACATGCAAACAATATGAGACCATATTAAACATGTTTCAGTCCAATTTCATTTTCACTACAAGAACAGAAATGTCTACTGCAAATAATATTTTGTAAGTTATGAATGCTGTATTTTTGTTCCCAATTTTTTTCATACTCATAAAAAAATAAATATTGAAAACTGATAATAATGAAGTTATAGGAATAATAGAACTAATACTGACAGACATACACAATAAAACAATAATTACACCATTTTTCAACCAGCATATTTCACATAAATATGTTAATCAAGTTTTGAATATCATGTTAACCATGAATATTTTCCCATACCAGCAAAGATATTAAGGATTTTTGTGTGATTGATACCTGTCAAGTCATAAATCATGTGAATAAAATCATACCATGTTTAAAGAGAAGGTTGAGTTCTGGGAAGAGGTGAAAAATAATTTATAACTTTATAGTGTGGAAGAACATCGGATAAGACATGTTCCCTGAAAAGCATGGCTCTTCAAATGCCTTCATATTCTAAATATGTCATGTTCATACATGCCAACATTTGAAAATCAGAAATCTGTACAAATTATGCTATTTAAAAAAAAAAGAGGAACAATCCTAACTCTCCTATTCAATACTAAAGACAAATTTGTACAGGAAGAGGAACACCTGCATTAAAATGATAATTATCTTCTCCCAAAAAGAGGAATGTTCCTCTTTAATCTGAACAGTTGGCATGTCTGCATGTTCATCGTAAAACTCGGGGGTAGGTTTTTTACGCCACGTGTTCGTGTAGTCCCATATACATCTTTCTGTGTACAGTGTTTGTAACTTTACCAAGACTTGGCCAAATTTCTTATTATTTTGATGATTTCAGAACCTTGCAATACACACAAATTATTATATGCTAGATGATCAACCTTTTCTGGTCGATTCCACACCGTTTCTTTCACAATGCAATCGCATGACCAGAAATCAACTTCATCTTTAAAGAAAAGTTTACATGATCCTTTTTAATAGAAAGTGGAAATATGGATTATGAGGAAGCAACAACAAAAATGAAAAACGAAAGTGACAAAATGAAATAAAAAGCAACATGAGGATGCCAGAGAGTATTTTTTTAACCTATTCTCGTCACTTTCATTTTCATTCAACATAAAATGAGAAATAATTTGAGCCCAGAACATGTTCCCCTTTAATGGCTTCATAATAAATTATAATGCAGAACAGCATCATTACTCACTCTTTGTGATTTGTAGCTGTACTTTTATCTTCAATAGCTTTACAATAAATGATCATGCAGAGAAACAGGAAAACTCACTCTTTGTGTAATTTGTAGCTGAAGCTTGGCTGCAGCTGTGTTATTCTTTCCCAAGGTGACCGAGGAGAGATTTGACTAAGAGAAGGCTCAGAATTCTCTAAATGACCTGAATAACATGAAATAAAGAAGCATGGCCAATCAGAACAGAAGATTACAATTATATCAACATTTAGTTTAGAAAGGATATCTTTTTATAATTTTGCCTGTTAGGAATAATGCAGACATCTCAACTTAAAATGGAAAGATTATTGAAAAACTGAAGCAAATATTGCACTTCCATTACTTGAATTGAAATCAATTTCAGACCCCATTCACACTCTAAAAGGAGAGCATTCTTATACAAATTTCTGAGAAAGGTGACATTTACGTGAATGATGTTTCCTTGAACAATATTTGCCTCTCTCTGTTCCTCTCTCTCCCCTCTCTCTCTAACCCCCTCTTTCACACAATTTTTTTTTCTCCAGATATGTTTGGGAGCCTCCTTAAACCAAATTATTTTCCATTCATTGTGTATTTTCATCACTCCATAAATAGAATATCAAGTTCCGAAAGATTTTCAGCAATGAAAAAAAAGAATATGAAATTTCTTTTTTCTGGATGTTCAGCTTTTTGTTCAGTGGTGGAATACATATTTGTCAACCTACCCGAATCTTGAATGGAATGTGGTGGCAAGACACTGCTATCGTTCACCCAGCTGCATGGCGCCCCCTCTGGCTGATCCTGCACTGGTCCAGCCGACGCCGAGGAGGAAGAGGAGGAGGGGAGTTCAGGGCGAGGTGAAGTCTCTACTTTCCCTATAAAGGATTGGTTGCTTCTCTGTGTGGCTTCCTGCTCTGTCGATCCCACCGCTGCCACTGGGTTTGGGGCAGAGAACCTTGTAGGGTGGGGCTTGGTGAACAGCTGCTTGGGGGTCTGTCCAAACTCCATGATCTGAGATTGCATGGATGCCTTTTCATTTGGGTCTGATATACTATTGTCAGAAAATAACAAGTAATCATCAGGATTCACATACTGAGACAGAGAGGTACAGTGGCAATATCTAAGCTTGAGATAATTTTTCTATTATAAGATTTCAAAGGGATTTATCCCTGGTACTGCATCATTACAATCAAATGTATATATTAATTTTTGTCTACCGTAAATGCTTCAGGATAGATGAAACCAGAGAGAAGTAAGGAAGAGGGAGGAGAAATGCAGAACATGCCTAAAGAATGCAACAGTCACAATAAATTTATATATCAATAATGCAAACAACAACAATTATATTTAAGTGTTTGCAGCATTTTTTATTCATACATATAGACAGATGCACATATACACCTTTACCATAAGATGATTGCATATCTCAAGGCTTTCTATTAGTGTGATACCGTAAAATGGTAGCAATTAAAGGCAAACCAATTAAGAGGGCATGGCCCTTCCCAAAGGGTTTCTTCATGTACATGTTAATTGCCAGTTTTGACCTCTGCAAACGCTGATCATTACCTTTAAATATATCTCAAACTTATAAACCAGGAAACCCTCTGTTTTGCAAAATAATGAGGCAATCATACTATCTCAATTGTCAAGGGCTATTAAATGTTCAGCTTGAAAAAACAAACTAATATTTCATATACAAAACTAAATAATGAAACAAACAGATAAACAAGGAATAAACCTATGAAGATAAACATGTTGCCTCACCTGTCCAAGTCTATAGCACCTTCGTACGTGAGATAATAGAAAACTGAAAGAAATTGAAAGAGGAGAAGAAAAAATAGAACATAATCATCAAGACAGAGCAAAGCGTAATAACCGGTAAGTTAAAAGTACCACCAACAATAAATATTTAAAATGAAAGGATTTTTGTAAAGGATAAGACTATTCAAGAGGAAATATGCACTGTTTTCTTTGAAGTCAGACTTGTAATAGACCACTTTCAGGAGACCCTTGTTTTATCGTATCTATCAAAATCTGAGTGATCTCGACTCCCACTATATCTTGATTATCAAAATAGGGCACACTGTTTTCTTTAAAGCGTGTAGACCATTTTTTTTATACATCTCGTAATATACCGGGACAGGGAACTAAACACCAAACCTATTCTGTAGGAAAATATCATATATATAAAGCACATGTTGAAATCTTTTCATCACATGGTCATTACATATTCATAAATAGTACTGTTAAGAGAGAATGTTTTTTAAAACAGAGACAAGTCTTTAAGAAAAACTAAAAGACAACACAAAAATGGAAAAACTTTTTTTTTTAATTGTTACAAAGTTTTTTTAAAAAGGAGAAGATCATAGACAAAGAAAATAAATATAACTTAAGTAGTATGGACAATACAGGAAATGGTGTACTATTCCAGAAGACAGAATTAATATAGGCCTTGGATTTTACTGCAGATTTTTATATTTTTTTAACCACTGACGGACTGTTTAAAGGTAAAGACCAGTTTTGGAAATGCCCTCTCTCAAAAAATGAAATGGAAGCTCTTATTACCAATCATGTGAAAGAATATGTTTTGACCAATACGTGATCATACAAATTTTGCCGGGAAACCGCCTACTAATTGATATATTTGGTAAATTATTAAATCTATCCAGACTGGATAGATATAGGGTAGTCCCATATACATCTTTCTGTGTACAGTGCTTGTAACTTTACCAAGACTGGGCCAAATTTCTTATCATTTTGATGATTCAAGAACCTTGCAGTAGTATATGCTAGATGATCAACCTTTTCTGATCGATTCCACAAAGTTTCTTTCACAATGCAATTGCATGACCAGAACTGGTCTTTACCTTTAAGACTTTGCTGAACAAATGCATGCTGAATTTTAGCTCATTAATTACTGAATGTTCTCATTACCATAGGCTTAACACAGGATCCACCTGGTTCATGTACTCAATAGGTTAGAGCCTATATCTGTACACTTTATAGATTTACAGAAATATCAGAGAAGAGAAAGAGAAAATGGAAAGAGAAAATGGAAAAGAGAAAATGGAAAAGAGAAAAGGGAAATTAAGTACCTAATAAGTGCATCTTTGAAAGTGGCTGGAGTTAAGAGTCCATGCGACAATTCACATGTATAATATAACCAAACCAGCAGGACATAAAAGGTTGCAATTATTTTGATCATAACCTGACTGTGAACAGTGTTTATGGGGCAAAGATGACTTGCAAATTGATCTGGTATGTTCACTACGCTGCACACATGCACAAGGACAGATCCTTGTTAGCCTTTGTGTTCAGAATTGTTTGGAAACAGGCCATGATTCCACTTATGATTTCCCTCCAAAGGAGGTACGATATTGTCATTTTTACTTTAATTGCTAAAATTGTTGGTATAAAATTAGAGTGAAACACGTATACAACTATACAAAGTCCACTCCAAGAAGACAGGAAAGGCAGTCTCTATCGTCAAGTGGTCCTCAGGTTCAGGTTACTTTAATATGCATTTCAGAACTACACTATTCATAACTTTTGTAAATTTAATGGTGTTTTTTTTCCTTAACTCAAGAATAAAATGTGGACTGGTTGAACTAAGGCCTATGTTGAATACTTTTAAAAGGTAAGCTTTAATTTTTCACATTCTCCAGAAACATAAATCAGGATGAATCATTTTTTCACATACCGGTACTTAAAGAAATTTGCAAAACTTGGTAAGGGTATGAGTATATTTAGTACCGGTAGTTTAATCTAGGTCTCAAAACCTGATACTCCACTCACATCCAGACATCTTCATTTGTGGATGAAATAAACAGGTAAATGGGTAAATGTCTATTAGGGATATTACACATTGCAACCACCTTCTATATTTTGAAGACAATACATAAAAAGTAAATATCCGCAACCATAACTTGTGATTTATTCTGGTTTTTCCAATCCCTGACAAAATTTTCAAAAAATAAAAAAGATATCCAATTAAATGAAAGATTCAAAAAATGAAAGAATAAATAAAATAAATGATATAGAATTAATAAAATAAATAAATGATATTAAATAAATAAATTAATTAATGAATTAAAAAAAACTTGTTATTCTTTTCCTGCAGCACATTATAATGAAAAGACTGAATGTTCATTGACACATGCTTGGTAGGAGAATGCCATTTTCAATCCTGAGTGCTTCATAAAAGGAAGAAGTGTAGGTGGGACTAATATGGCACTTCCCCTGCTTGGCTCGATCTGTACAAAAGGGGGAAGTTGTGGAGTGAGAATATCAAATGTCAGCCGTTACAAAAAATAATTTTGTCTTAAAGAATGAGGAAGTAGGGGTAAATGCTTACAAGTGAATTAATCATCACTTAAAGAGTTGCAGCCACTCACTGATTGGACCAACCAGCCCGCTTTGGCATGAGCACGCAGGAATGAGAGGGGGAGCTAGAATACCAGTTGGTGACTCACATTTGCTTGGGAAGGTTCGCTCTTTACGCAGGCGGCTAATTGAACAACACATGCTGTGCATTGCATAGGAGTTTGGAGTACCTGCAAATGTTAGGCCATATCCATGGGCAAGGAAGTGACTGTTTGACTTCTGCATGGGCGCTCGGAGAGGCACAGAAGAAGCCTAACTTTCCCAGCTGACGAGACGTCCACCATGGAAGTTTTCAGGTACTTCTTGGAACGTTCTATCCTCTTCTTGTTGAGCGGTCTTGTTGCATTTGCAGGATGTGGTGATGCGGCGAATATACTTATGAATGCAATATTAGGAAAAGGGAGTCATTACTATATAACTGAAGCCATTGGAGAGCAGCTCGTCAATAAAGGGCATAATGTGACACATCTTGTAAGTAATGCCTTCTACAAGCAGGCATCAAGCCGGCCGAGTGCTGACATATTCAACTATGAGGTATTTGAAACTGCTGTGCCAAGTGAAGTCATTTATCAACTCTACGCTAATTTGAGCAAAGTAGCGTTCTTGTCTGGACTTAATAGTCAGAATATCGAAATAGAAAGCAAACCTATCTGGCATCGCTACCTGGATTGCCAGGCAGTTCTAAACAACCAGGAACTCCTGGAAAGAATAAGGAAAGCAAACTACTCAATCATTATTTATGACATGCTATGGCCTTGTTTACCGATTATTTCTAAAATGCTTGACATCCCTCTCGTGGGAATCATTTCATTTCCAAACCCTTGCATGGAAACGGAGATAGCAGGTTCAAATGTTAATCCGTCCTACGTACCCTGCACAGGCATTGGATTCACAAACAAGATGACTTTCGTTCAACGATTTGTGAACACATTCCTCTACGCATTTGTACCATGGCTGACGACAGATAAATATGTATGGTACAACAATCTCCTACATGAGCATTATTCCAATGATTCTGTTGAGTTGTTAGATGTCGTTCGTCATACTGAACTCTTTCTTGCCAATAGTGATTTTGTAGCTGACTACCCCTGTGCCTTGGGACCCAACGTGGTCCTTGTTGGAGGCCTTACGTCCAAGCCTCCAAAGAAACTTCCTCCTTCCTTGGAGGACTTCGTCATGAGTTCTGGAGATCATGGAGTCATCGTCTGCTCTTTCGGTTCCTTCCTGTCCTCGCAGGATCTCTTTGAAGCGAACAGCAAGCTCAGTATCTTCATCTCAGCTTTCGCCAGACTCCCCCAGAACGTCATCATGCAGTTGGGACACGAGCCACCTTTCCCACTGCCAGGCAATGTCAAAATCCTGCCCTGGCTTCCACAGAACGATCTGCTTGGCCATCCCAAGACAAAGGCTTTTGTGTTTCCTGGAGGGAATAATGGGTTCTATGAAGCCATCTACCATGGTGTTCCTACCGTCGTCATGCCTCTGCGTGGTGATCAGTTTGATGTTGCAGCTCGCGTTACCTCGACCGGGATCGGTGTCGTCGTCGACAAACTGACAGTGACGGAAGACAGTTTGCAGCATGCCATCCACCAAGTCACCAGCACGGACAAGTTTGCAAACAAAGCTAAGAAGCTCTCGTCTATCTTCCGAGATCGGCCGATGCCCCCTGCCCAGCGAGCTGCATTCTGGGTAGACCATGTGATCAAGCACGGAGGACAGTATCTCCAATCCTCGGTCCATGACCTGAGCCGTATGCAGCACATCCTCCTGGATGTCTTGACAGTCATGTTTATTATGTTTCTTGTACTGGGTGTTCTAGCTTATAAATGCAGCTCCAGAGTTTTGTGGTTCCTGTACAGATGTGTGACTCGTAAGCATCTAAAAAATAGCTAAGACCTGAAATATACTGGATGATGCATGATCTTCTCAGTGCATTATTACAGTATATATGTTACTATCAATTCATTATAAAAATATATCTGTTATTAGTTGCCAATGTGATGAGAAAAGTTTAAAGAATGGTTATGACTGCTTCTGAATGAGGTACGAGCCATCAAGTACTCATTGAATGCTACACGTAATGATTCACAAGGAAAGCAGGTAGATATTTAAAGAAATTTCATGCCATAAAGTGACTATCAGAGCCAGAAACAGAGAGAAATGGAGAGAAACTATGTTTGAATAGTAAGTTTAATGGGTCAAATTATGTGACCAATTCTGAACTGCCTGCCTCTTAAATAACTGCTTTGTTATAAAAACTACATTTACCTCGTAAATAATTATGACAAGGCCAGGCAGGGCCCCTCCATCACTCCCCGTCCCTGCCCCTCCTTCCCCCTCTTAGTATATTTCAAGTTAGGAATATCAACTTTGATTACCCATTAGACAAAGCATGCTGACAAGCATTGCTGGGGCCTCTAGTTCATGAAGCCTGCTAGGCGAAGGATAATCTTTTTTTGATAGTAGCTTACTACAAAAAAGGAGATTTCTGTGCCTACACGCAGAAACTAGTTGTAATTGTGGAAACAATGCTTCACAGGTTACCATGGCAACAGCTTTAGAAAATGAGGGTTTATGAATACACGAGGTATGCCCGAGATATTAAAGGATAGTTTTTAGATAAAAAAGAGACTGAAATAGATTTTAAAAAGCGAGGTATATTAAGGTTGTGCTATGTAAAATTCTCTTCAATATCCTGATTTCAGCTTGAGCTGGTTTATGTAATAATGACTATTTATATATTGCAAGATGATTATTTGACTTTTTTGCAGCACTCTGTCTGCACAAAGCTGACTGTCTTTGTGTAAAGTTTAAAGAGGCATCTATGCAAGCACCAATGATAAGGGGGAAGTGCGATAGCTCAGTCGGTAGAGCAGTGGTCTCATAATCTGGTGACCCGGGTTCGAAACCAAGGCGATGTGCTAGTGCCCTATTTGAACACGTCCCACTGGAAATTGGAGCCCTGCACGGGATGACCAGGTCCCTCAGAGAGGACCTAAAGCCGCCGGCCATCTGGTTGCTTACTTACAAGCATTATGCTTTCTTAGCAGTCAGGTAAAATAACCACCATTCATTCATAAGTGTCAATTTCTGCCTAAATTCAGTTTCTTATGACAGTAAACATCTTTTCCCCTAATATAGAGGGATAACATAGTGTTCCGAATCCGGCTCCAGATCTAAACCAAATTCTTTCAATTGGTTACCTTTAGGTTGCTATGCTAAAATTCAAATATCACTTTCTGTTTGAAGGGATTGGGTATCTTTGTCTCAGATTCTGAAACAAAATCCTGGATTTAGCTCATGCTGCAATCATAATTATAAACCTTTAGGTCAGTCAGGAACCCCATGATTTTTACAAGCTGATTGCCTGTCTGGTTTACGATCGGAAATCAAAATTTCAAAATTTGTTTTCCAAACAGTTTTCCTAACACTTCAGTCTATTGGGGAAAATGAGTATGGTAAAACCTGTCACTCAAAGTTTTTTAGTTTTTCGAGGCACTTCATGATCATTTTGAAGGACTTCAATATTACACCATATTACAGATATTGTAACATGTAGGGCCATGCATCTCAGATTTAACATTGTTAACATTGTTAAACGATGCCTGTAAGGTACCGGTATATCTAGTTTGTACCAGCAAAACACTAAATTCAGTGGTACTATTACATGAACGCTCGATCACTGTTCACCGATAATAACTGACTCATTAGGAGTGACTTGACATTCTTCTGTTGCACCAACGAGGCACATATGGGGACAAGTCTGAATATCGTTTCCAGGAAATGATTATTAATGATGACATGTTTAGCCCAATTTTGTGTTGTGCAAGCTTCTAAAAACAGCCTCTTCCTCTGTGATATATATGTTCATTGCAATCTTCATCAGACAGTGCTTTTTATTTTATGAAAATCTGAATTTCATTCTGGTCTAAAGATGGAAGCCGGCATATTGGAAAGAATAAATCACTTGCCAAGTCTATATCGGTAGATGACTTAAGACTCTTTGTTTGAGAGATCTATTCTTGAAAACCGACATTCCACAAAGTGACCTTTTAATATACAGTATCCTACCTGTATTAATGTTGAATAATGCCTGTAAAAGTGTTCCTATTACAGTTTGCAGGGCTAACAAATGTAATCCGGATTACATGTTATTTCTTTTCAAATCAAATTTGTGTTTTTGTCGATTTAAATAATATGGAGATGAACCTCTATATGCAAAATCTCAAAGATGCACTTGTACATGCAGAGATTAAAAAAATATGCAACTTTGGCAACATGCCTGTAATCATAGTTGTTGCTAATTCATTTTTAGTTGTTATATGCAAATAAAAGTATTTGTCTACACTTATAACAATTAGCAGAGACATGAATACAGAGTTATTTCCTTGAAAGTCCTAGCTCTTTCATTCTAAAAACATAACAAATGTTTGTAATATCTTACAGGATTAGTGCAAGGAACTTTGGCGTTGTGCATATAATATGTGAACTTTTCTTTCTACCATGTTTTGCCTTACGTTGAAATCGAGCAAGTAAGTTGTATTGAAAACATGGGATACATGAAAACTTGCACAAGTATGTTCACTTTCAATTCACCCAAGTCCTTTTCTTTGTCTGGATCACATGTCGATGAGATTGTAAATTGAGGTGGAAATTGATTGACTGGTTCTAATAACTTTGTAATAGCTATAAATAGGATGCATCCTATTTGAGTCATGTGTAATATCCCGCTGAGGCTATGTTAATACATAGCATGTATGGCAGTATTGGCAGCAGGGTAGTTTTGTGTGGTCTCGAAAAGGATATTCAATGAAAATGAACATTCTAATTTAGCTGATATCTCACTTTGCTGAAAAAACTCAGAAAAGACACTTTTTAACATAAATATAGTAAGCTGCATGTGTCCAAAGTCCTTTGTAATATTTGAATTCTTGCAAGATGGAATGACAATAATATTTGTTTCAATGATTTGCAAATTCTAGGAAAATGTTACTTCAAGATCTATTTCACCTTTAAGCTTTACTTGGTAAAAACAGATTGCAGTGTATTTTTTATTTATCTGAATACCGGTATAGTTTCTGCCTCTAAAATCCTTTTAGTTGTTAATGACAAGATTTTAATAAAACATGTAATGTGACAAAAGAAAAGGTATGAATCTGTTCAAAGTTTATTTTGTGGAGTATCCAATGATCGTAATTTGTGGGCTGTTATGGTAGCCTTTGATATATTGTTAAACAATCTAAAATTGTTGTGAATTTTTTTTGAAAATGTAACCTGATATTTTGCTTATTCAAGTCCAAACAGACAAATTTAATTTTCATTTGCTTTATAATTGTTTTTAAAATATGTATACACTGTATTTATTTTATAGATAACTTCATTCTGTTTTCTCTGGCACATTCAGAATTAATCAGAACAGTGCATTTTTCTGTTCATGTGAGTTTTTCAAAAAATTGCTGCACAGAAATTGTGACTTTGCATTTGAAGGGATGAGTTTAAGAATTTTCTCTTCTTAGAACAAAATTACTCTCTCTGCTCCCTTTTGTGTGTGTAGAATGAGACAATATATCAAATAAGCTAAATCATCAGTTCTCAATTTCTGAATAATAGTTTATTCTTTTACGATGAAGGATATGTTCAAATTTGTAATTATTTTTTAGGGAATATTTCATTTTTTTAAACCTGAAAGAAGAAAAAAAAAACATTAGAATGTTGCACAAATCAATCATCTTTTTACAAAAAATCCTATAATCTACGTCACTCAATTTTCTAAAAGTAATTAGATGAACATTAGATATTTCTAGACAGTTCAACAAATTAATGATTTTCTGTAAATGAAACCAAACAAAAACAGCAGTCAGTATTCAACTCTGCATGACACATAATGTATACATGTACATGTAGATCAGCTAGTCTCCCACATCCAAGACTGCACTGTGACACACTTTCATCCCAGGAGTTCAACGCAAAGAACTGCACCCTCATGATGTTTTTTTATAATCAATATCAACTTTGCATTTCTGAATCTGATATACTGTGGACTGAGGTGAATGGCTTTTATGAGCAGGGCAGCTCTGAATTTACAAGCCATTTCATGACTTGGTGTAAAGCTAATTTCTTAATTTCATATACAGAGGAAAAGCACTCAACTTGATTAGTTAGGTGCATAGCCCATAAACTCTGCATTTCTGAATCTGTCATATTGTGGACTAAAGTGAATGGCTTTTATGAGCAGGGCAGCTCAGAATTTGATATAAACAAGCCATTTCCTGACTTGGTGTATAGCCAATTTATTAATTTCATGTGCAGAGGAAAAGCACTCAACTTGATTACTCAGGTGCATAGCCCATAAACTCTGCATTTCTGAATCTAATACACTGTGGACTGAGGTGAATGGCTTTTATGAGCAGAGCAGCTCTGAATATGATATAAACAAGCCATTTCCTGACTTGGTGTATAGCCAATTTATTAATTTCATGTACAGAGGAAAAGCATAGCCAATTAAAACACCACATACATGTATCTGGATCTAATATACTGTGGACTTTAATAGGTGAAGTGAACGGCCTTTTTGAGCAGGGAGACTGTCTGATCTTGATATAAAGAGGGCATTTCCTGACTTGGTGCATGGCCCTAATATGAGCACAGCATTTCGTCCTGTGGCAGGTAGAAGGGGGGAAACTGTGTTGCGTCGTTCCGCTAAACGTGGATGTGTAGTTTTGTGTTAAGCACCCCCCCCCCCCCCCCACTCAGTGTTATTTAGGGTATGCACATGCGTGTTCCCAGCTACCCCCTCCCCCCCCCCCCCCCCCCTTTCAGTAAAAGTCTGGTGTGTAAAGTCAATACGGGTCAACCTTTTTCTTAACAAGCCTTTTTCGGCACCCCCCCCCCCCCTTTTCAGCAAAAGTCTGGTGTGTAAAGTCAATACGCAATACGGGTCGACCTTTTTCTTTTGTTACGAGCCGGAGAGTTTGGGAACACGCATGGTATCCCTCCGGAGGGGGGAGGGGGCGGGGTTAGGCGTAAGGTGCTAAGCATTACAATACCTGTAACTTCAAGAATATGTGCTTTTATTATTTGATATGAAACAAATCAAAGTGGGTAATTACCATCCATTTTCACTTTCTTATTATCTGATAAAGAAAGAAATCCCTATCATGCTTAACAAATGATGTACAGCAATCAAAAAATTATACGTGAATTACAAGAAATTTGGCATGCGTGCATACGAACAACCTTCTGCAGTCAGCCACATGACAATTTCTAATTTTGACAATATGAACAGGGCATTACAGAACCTTAGCCAATTATGAACAGGGTATTTCTGAGCTTCATATAAAGATAAGGAGCAAGGCCCATATATGAAAAGGGTATTTCTGAACTATTAAGATAAGGAGCAAGGCCCCTATATGAACAGGGTATTTCTGAACTATTATAGATAAGGTGCAATGCCCATATATATGAACAGGGTATTTCTGAGCTTCATATAAAGAAAAGGTGCAATGCCCATATGTGAACAGGGTATTTCTGAACTATTATATATAAGGTGCAATGCCCATAATATGTGAACAGAGCAGTCTTTAACTAGATCTAACACATTAACAGTCTAGAGGTGCCACAAGGCAGATTCCTGCTTGAAGTCAATGTAACAAAATACACAAAGGAAATTCAGACTCCTTTAAATGTGACATCCTTGCCTTGATTAGTAGTTCCTGTTTTTTGCTTCAAGCTTGGAACTACAAAATTATGAAAGGGTGATTGACAGGACTGTCGTATAAATAGGCAAGATTTCACCAAACTAAATCTTAGATTATCCTTTTCTTTCAGCAACTGATGTGACACAGGTGACAGGAACAAATATATTTAAATGACATGCAGAAACTGCAAAGCAAGCAACAGGGTCACATAGGAACTAAACATTAACAAAAAAAATCACACCTCTTTTCTTTCTCTTTCTCTCTCTCTCTAAGCTCTCTCTAAGAATGACTTCAAGACCTTTTTTTAAAACAGTACAATACACTTTAACAATTGGCACATTCATGGTTAATATAAAAGTGTATATTTTTTCCCCTTCATTTTGTAACTTTAATTTGTAAGTTCATTTAGTGACAATAATGATCTACATGAGAAATGTGTCAGTGAAAGGAAACTAAAAGTGGGGCCACTTTGAGGAAGCAAAGCATGTTCATTCAGCATATTCCAAATACAGGTTCTTTAACCATACTTTTGCCTTTTTGAATAGGAATTGTGTTTTGGGGTACTTCTTTACAAAGCTGCAGCTTTCTTTCATATTTATTTTAAAGTGAAATTACGGTCAGGTGCATCAACAACAGCACGAGAATGAAATCGAAATTCTGACAATACATCAGATAATCAGCTTTATAATCATATGATGAGAAAGATCTCACAAGGCATGCACATGACCATTATTGTATTGCAAATTCAAAATGCAACAACCCTGCGCAGACAGAGATATCAAATGGTTATAATAGCAATCTCTTGAGAGCGTCGATAGACAGTTTCACCTTTGGAGGAAGTGGTTACAGAGCAGTCAATTGCAACAAATCTCCCCCTAACTGTAAAATGCAGTAAAGTGAAGTACCATAGGCTTTTAGTAATTCCACTTTGCAGCAGCGTTCTATTGGGGGCTCTACAGACATGATTAAGGAGAGGGCACTCCTACATATTTGAACTTCTCGTGAAACCTTTGATGACACGGATTAAAAGCAATAACCAACGGCCTCAAACAATAATTAATTAAGTTCAGACAAGAAAAACTAGCATACTATTTTAAGTGTTAATACTAATTACTTTGCAGGAACAGGACACAAGCAAATTTGAACTCTTTTTTAAAGTATACGCTAGTACCCTCATATATCCATGGACACATATTATGTACATAGAAAATAAAATAATACATCTTGTTATGCAACTATTGAGAGTAATAAAAAATTGTAAGGGTTGGTCCTTACGAAGGTATTATTAAAGGTAACATTGGAGGAAGCCAACATTTAAAGGGCAACCATACCCATGGATTACAAATATGCTTGTTATCCAGCAAAAAAAAAACACCATTGTAGTAAAATTCAAGTAAAGAAATTATAAGTAGCGATCATTACAAAGCATTTTTTTCAAACTAAAAAAGATATTATTTCAGGATTAGAAAAAATGCAATATCAAGTTGTTTGAAGATGGTGTCTTCCAATACCTTCAGTTTAAACTCTCTCTCTCTCTCTCCCTCCCTCCCTCCCTCCCTCCCTCTCTAACAACATGTATCAGGTTACATATAAACACAAAGTCAACAATTAATGTCACATAAGTCCTAAAAATTAAACATAAAAAAAAGGGAAGGAATTATATTTAATATGAATGGATAATAGACGTACATCAGTATTGCATATTTATCAATCCTTTCGCGGATTGGTGTGCTCATAAAGATAAGATAAGATAATCAACTTACCATTATCGGCTGCCTCTGCTTCCGGACCTTTCTGTTTATAGCCAAAGATAAGATCGATCCAGTGATGGAGATGATGCGAGACGTAGTCACTCTCCAATGCCTGACGACACTTCCTACAAAAGTCAGCTTCATCTGAAACAAAGAAGAGAGATATTAATATCCACTCTACTTGGAAATTCTTCACAAGAATAAATAATCGCAGTAGTGATGATGAACATTAATGCAGAATGTATTACTTGTGTTTGTAAACAATATTTGGGGTGTTAGGATACTTTAATTAATTAAGTGCAAATGAATAATTGTACCTGAACTTAATTGTAATTGTAAAACCTTGGCAACTGTGGAGAATGGTTAATTTTCATATTCAATAATCAACAACAAAATAGTGCAGCCTTGGGTGCCTGGTTAGTGGTACCATAAATTATAGCCCAGGGGTGGTTATGACCTTGGCCACTGCAGATAAGGGTTACATTTTACATTCAAATGTTACCAGCACAATGGTTTAGCATTGGGTGCACTTCAGTTATTATTGGTATCTAATAATACCAGCCCATAGCAGTAGACCAATCTTGACCGCTGTCGGGAAGAGTATATTTTCGGTTCAAAGTTTAACAACCAAACTGGTGGATCTGACTGAACACCTACAGCATTGATAATTTCTTACCATCGGCCCAAGGGGGCAGCACAACGTTGGTTACCGTGGAGCCATCCTGACATGTTCCCAGCTTAAGACCCTTCCGATTGATGAGGAAGTCGGACATCTCAGGCTGGTAGAACTCAGGGATCAGCTCCTTCACATCGGAAGGCAGGGATAGGACGTTGTTCCATGTCTCGGCCGCACTGAAGGAAATAAATGGAGATGACACAAGAATTTATGAATATGTGTATGGGTTTCCTGTGGTGTTAAGGGTACTTCTACGACGATACTCAGGAGGATCCATAAGTCAGGATGTAGTGCTGAGGAATAAACTATCTAGTTCTTGGTCTAGAGAAGTTCTGAAGAGAAAGAGAAAGAGAGAGAGAGAGAGAGAGGGGGGAATAAGCTGTTTTACACATCAGGAGGCAGTTGTTCCAGGTCTCAGCAACAATGAATGAATGAATGGAAATTACAAAAGAAATCATGCATATGTTTTTGTGGTTAGTGATACCACTGCAATTGGAAGAGGGGAAGTAGATGCCTGTTTGGAGAGAGGGAGAGAAAAAGAGAGGGAGAGGGAGAGAAAAAGAGAGGGAGAGAGAGAGAGAGAGAGAGAGGGGGGGGGGGGGGGGGGGGGGGGGAGAGAGAGAGAGAGAGAGAGAGAGAGAGAGAGAGAGAGAGAGAGAGAGGGATGGTAGGAGGGAGGGGAGATGAAAGGTCAGTAAGTTGTTCTATTTCTCAAACACAAAGTAAGCAATGAAATGAGAAATCACCTACAAAAATGTCAGAGGAATCTATTCAGCACATGGCATATTGAAAATCAAAAAATATTTCAAGGATACACAATATAAAAGGAAATATATTACAACTGATGTTTTCATCAACTATGTGAATAGATAGCATGAAGTACATAATAGCATGATACCATCGTAGTTTGCAAGAATCTTCACTAAATTGAAGGAGGCAGACTAAATCAGAAGAAGAAGAAGAAGTACAATGGGACACTCCCAAAGGGATAATTACTATATTTCTGGAAGAAATACAATCATATTCTCACCTTTTAAAGAGCCTATCTGGTTGGTCAAACCTGCCATTTTGCAAGCAGAGTGCCTCTTCCGGAGCTACCCTCACCAGGTAATACAAGACATACCCAGGGGTTGAGTAGTGGGAACCGTAGAGGAACTTAGGCTCTGGCATGTCTTTCCTTCTCTCCTGTAATAGTCAAATAATAGTTAATTAACAATAATAATGCATTAGTAGTAAAAAAAAAAAAAAAAGTCCCATTTGTAGCCAACATCAAATTATGTAGAACTTTGCAGGAATTATAAACATGTCACATATGTCCTAACTGTGAAATTTTAACTTTAGCAGTGTCCTAATATTCAAATTATGCAAGGAAATCCGTTTAATTTCTAGACTTTACTGTCGGACACTAATAACATACAAAAAATGAGCTGTAAAGGGTACATGAGCATTTGTCTACATCAATAACCCAATGCTTGTAATGGCTAAAATTAAACTGATTGAATCTTTAAGTAGCACAAAATGTACAACCATTCGGTACAAGGGTCTGAAAATCAGACTATTACTTTAGTGATTGCAATCAAGTTCTAAATTAGTATTACCTTTCAAATGCATTTGGAATCTAACCTTTAAATTTGTTGGGCCTGCAAATGGGACAAAGTGCCTTTAATTTGTAGCCCCAATATATTGGTTTCCCAACCTTGTCAGTCACACAAGCTCATGATCCAAATTGTTTTTTATGTGGTTAAATTGTTAAAAACAACTTTAAGTGACAGTATTTTCAAACACAGTGAATATTCAACATTTTTCCTCAATGAGCATCCTTGATGAGCATGCAGAAACCTCTATCTTTAATAACCATCACAAAGCAATACAAAAATGTGATACAGTGATGACTGAATTATGCATGACAAAAAAAAACTAGATTTTACCCTGAATCTCTCAAGTCTCTTGGTGTTAATGGCACCGATTGGTTTACTGAGGTCACGAAAGGTCAAAGGGTCACTGAGGTCAAGTTCAAGGCTTGTGTAGTCTGCTAAGATCCATGGGAAGACTGGGTACTGTGTGATGTCATTGATACTGCGGTCAGCTTGACTGAGAGATGGGAAGATGACGGTTAGGAACATGGATAAAATAGACAGTGCAATGAACAGAAAATAAAATCATTACAAAAACAAAAACAAACTAGATTGATCTTCAACTTCGCACAGTCGAAGATGATGCCTCCAGAGTCCGCCGTAGAGCAATTTTGCAAACCTAAACAGAAGCATTTTCTAAAAATCCAAGTTTGATCGTAATTCATTAACAGGTTCTCAAAATATCGTGATTACAAGCTATTTTTCATATACATGTATGACCCTTTGATCTTTGACCTCATGACCCCAAATCCAACCAGTTCATTTGCTCATCAAGATGCATACATGTCCTGAGTTTGATAGTAATCCATCTGTCAGTTCTATTGACAATGCGTTCAAAATTTATTTTTGAATACATAATGGAGCCCCCATGACCTTTGACCTCATGACCCCCAAATCTAATTAGTTCATTGGATCTGCAAAATTCATACATGACACAAGTTTGGCAGGAATCCTTCAATCGGTTCTTGAGATAACGAGATCACAAGAACGGGAAATACGGAAGGACAACCCGAAAACAAAATTCCTTCAGCTACTTCGTTGAGAGGAAGAGGAAGAGGAAGAGATTTTCAAAAGCTGAAAAATCTACAATATTCCCCTTTTAAGAAGAATAACCTTCCAATATACTGAAGAAAAAAAGAACCTGACTTTTAAATGAATAGACAGTAATTATTGCTTGATGATTTTCCATACACAATCAAGTTGCATGAATGCCTGATCACAAATATTCTTATCATGAATATTAAATCATGACAATATATTCACAGTAAATTATAGAAAATCATCAAGTCATTCCCAGCCCATTCCAATACAAATTTCTCATTTATTTAACCATGAAATCCTCCAGTATGATAATTTTAGAGATTTTCTTGAAAAATATTAGAGACATCTTAAACATGAAATGAACCATATCAATAACATTTTTCTAATTCTTTGCAGTAGTGCATCTCACCTGTTTAAGTACATGAGGTAGTCAAAGTTTGAGATAACTTTATTCTGCCAAAGCAACATCATGTTCTCCTGTCCCGATTCCTGTAACCTGACACCTGAAGAATGGAGAGAAAAACCAACTTAAAAATAACTTTACTCCATTTGTTTTGATGAGGATGCATAAATACCAACAAAATATAAGAAAGTTCATGGATTTTGAGATGGTTTGTTATTGCGAACCCTGGGATTTTGTGAAAATAGTGGATATGCTCGGTAACAACAAAAATCCCGTGTGTTATGCCTCTGCTGGCCAGGTGATCTGACACAAACCCCTAGTGACATTTGCTCCTGGTTTCATTTGGCAAAGATGCAGAGACAGGGTTAGGGTTGCCATTGGGTTGCATGTTATTTTACGGCTAAATGTAGTGTTGGGTAGGTTCAAGGTTGAAGTTAGATGTTTGGTTATGGATACACTTTAGGAATTGACAGCAGAGCAATTGTTGCGAGAGCATGTGTCACAACACCACTGGCCTACTGCAAGGCTTACATCGATATACAATCAAACCTGCTATGGTGAAAACCAGTAAAGAAAGACCACCTGTCTACAAAGACCATATTTTTTGTTTCCCTAGAAAATGGTTTCTCATTGAAACATTTACCTGTACTTAAAGGCCACCTGTCCATAAAGACCACTTGTCTTGTCTCCTTTGGGTTGTTTTTATAGACAGGTTTCACTGTAAATTCAAGTTTATGGATGTTTCTTTCCTCATGTGGGGACCATGTGACAAGTTAGACCATTAACCTGTTATTAATAAATGAACTACAATACTTGGTATCCAGTCTGCATACACTGCTTGTTGCCATGTCAGGCAAGCATCTGACAAGCCTTCAGCTTGTCAAGAACAACCTTTTCTTTCAACAGTATGCCTAACTTTGAATATGTTAGTAAACCTGTCTATTGACAATGATAGGAGAAGCAAACCTCACCTGGCTGTTCAACGACCTTGGCGTATAGTTCATCTCTCTCCTCTGGTTTAGAAAGCACTAGGAATAGATTGGACCGGATTGAATCATCACAAAACACCTCCAGGCCCTGGTATGAAGTGGTATGAACAAACGGGAAAAAATAAATGAGTGGGACTAGAAACGAAATGTGAAGGAAGAGTTCTATTCAAACCTTATGCTTTATAATAATATTAACAAACAATATGCCGATTTTATATTGTGCAACTACACACTAATGCTCTTTTCAAACCCTAATTTTAGCCAAGTAACCATAACAGGGCAGCATTCATGATTTTTTTTTTCTTTCTTAGTAACTATATAAAGAGAGAAATAAATGCAATTGTATTCCTATGACTAATGATGGAATTTCGTAACATTAAAACATGTTTTCAGTGCGCTTTAAAAAAACAATATGCTTTTCGTCATCTTTTGTTTAAGAAAAATGAGTCATCCCTTGGCTAAATTCAAATAGAGAACAAGAAATAAATTTTCAATCAAGCATAACCCTTTTATAAGACATGGCCATAGACAATCAAATCGAGGTGAAAAAAATGTTGTAAAATGTGAGTTATTTTCCTTACCACATGCTTCAACAGGAACCGCCTCTTCACTAGTCTCTTGATATCAGAAAGCTTGATCTTCATAACAGGCACCTACAGAGTAGTTAATGAAGACACAGGTGACAAATTATAATAAATAAATAGATGACAAGATAATAGAAACACTGATGGCATTATTGATTTCTGTTTCACACCCAGGAAAGGAGTCATAGACAAGAGCGCAAGCAAAGTCCCATCTTGCACTCTCCATATCAAAGAGAGAATATCATTAAACTAGTACAGTGTACCAAGGTTGAAAAATAAACTGCAAAATAACAAATATCGTCACAATAACCACTTACATGTTCTTGTCACTCTATTTATATATTTCAGAATGAGAATTATTCATTTTGCATAAATGTTAATATGTCAGATAGCAAAAGAATTTCATTAATGGGCTAGAGGTTTTAATAGGGAAACTTCTCATGAGGGAAGTGGTCAAGATAAAGAACAAACCCTCAGATGATTTTAATTCATTTCTCATAGATCTGCATACTTAAAGCCTATCTGCACTAGTTTGGCCAGGAGGGATTAGACCTCCCTGCGTGGTCACCTACAGGTGGTTATGTCATCAAATCAACTCTCAATTAATATAAGAAAAAGGGTACCATGGGGGACCAACAGGTACCGCTTAGGCACTACATACAGGTGCAAGTAGCTACAAGTAGTGCAGTCCCGCTTAAAGGGATCCGGTAACTTTGTCTCAGATCCTTAAACAAAATTCAGGATTCCCATTACTTTTCCAAGCCGATCACCTGTCTGATTATCAAGATATTTATGATTGAAAATCGAAATTTCATTTTGAGTTTTCATAACACTACAGTCTATTGCGGAAAATGAGTATGGTAAAACCGGTCACTCAAAGATTTTTACTTTTTTGAGGCACTTCATGATCATTTTGAAGCGCAATTTTTTTTCTTCTTCAATATTACACTATATCACAGACACTTGTTCAACGATGCCTTTAAACAAAAACAAAAATCCTGATAAACTTACTGGTTCTACATTATTAAACGGCTGAAAGTAGAGTATGGTAGATGTGACCATGATGCGACCTGGATTGACTACCAGTGGGGTGATGCGCTCCCCTACCATCTCGACTACGATGGTCTCATAGAGGCTCTCAAGACGACTTGTGTCAAACTTCACCCTCTTCTGCCTGGAGTAAACAATGGTTGCAATCTTGAAAGAACAAAAGGTTGAAAAGTCTGTTACAACATCAATAATAACTACATGTAGTATTCTACAAAAGCTAATGTTACTGGATATCAAGATTATGAATCCATTAAAAGAAAAGAGATAACAAAGGCAACGCTGACATCATAACAAAAGAAGCATTTATGTAACCACCTCATAATATTGCATTATACTAAAATTAACGAATGCTTAAGGAGAAGGAGGAGGAGGAGGAGGAGGAGGAGGAGGAGGAGGAGGAGGAGGAGGAGGAGGAGGAGGAGAAGGAGGAGAAGGAGGAGGAGAAGAAGAAGAAGAAGATGATGATGATGATGGTGATTACAATAAAGGTGATGATGAAGAAGATAAGAATGATCGTAGTGTTGATAATGATAATGATATTGATGTTGCAGCTGCTACTGTTGCTGAAGATGATAGAAATATGATGAACTGTTGACATTAATAACAATAAAGATAAAATAAAACGATGGTGATGATGATGGCAGCGAGGACGACGACAACGATGACGATGTTGATGGTGGTAATAATGATGACAATGATAAAAGTCTGCTGCTGCTAAAGATCGGCATGGCGATTAACAACTAGAACATTTCTCACCATAGCATCTTGATCCGCCATAGGAAGAGTAGCTGCTCTGGCCAGCTGATTAGCCGGGTGTACCACATCTTCTGCTGTCCCAAAGTTCAAGGTGAAAAAATACTGACTATCACCCTAAAAATGAAATAGAAAGGCACAAGAGTGAAAAAGAATTGAAAAACTAATTTGAAATGAGCTTTCAGTTTGTTTCTCAACATGAAAAGTATTTTTCATGCATTATTACAATAAAGATGTACATAATAATATATTTCTTTAATTTGAATTTCAAACTATAAATTTTACTAAAGTTTATTATAAATGAGACTAAATATACAGTGAATGCTGTCCATATCAAGGGTTTTATTTTGCAGGATGTATGTTTTGTGAATGTAAAATGAGGTTTAAATTTACATACATAAATGAGGTTTAAACTTAAATACATTAATGGAATTGTCTGTTGTTTTATTCTGTTTCATACCAATCCATCACATTCTCAAAACATTGCAATTTAACAGCAAATTACATAATTATAATTTATTTATAAGAGTATTTCACCAGCTTTTAATCCATTATTAATTTATTTGATATATATACACAAAAATAGCATTCAAATTGTTGCTACACAAGTGCGATAAAAACAAATGAAATAAATATTAAAGTTCTCTACCATTCAACTTCACTGCAGTATTAAAGATATCTTCCTTATATGAACTTGAAGAGTGTCACTTTAGATTGTGTGAAGAAAGCTAAATCAAGAATCATTAGTACATATATGTCTTAAAAATGATGAACAATCTGTCAAATCTGATAAACTTCATGAAAAATTGAACCCATATGCAAACTGTAAACAAAAATAAATCTTATGCATACCTTTTTGAAGTTGTAAGGCCCTATTTCATTGCCAGCTTTCATTTGAATGGTTTGAGGAGTCTGGATGAATAGAGTGTCCCGCTTTGATCCAATCCTGTACGGTGAAGTATAGAAAAAAATTGTAATTTTTTTTTATTTCACCCCTTCATAAGTGACTTCTATAAGTGATTAGCAAAGATTATTTTGAAAAAGAATGGAATGTTTCACTATGCCTGAATGATCTGTAAGACTGTAACTTCAAAATGTTACTGTAAATTCTTCTCTTCGCATATCTTTAAAAGAGAATGAAACCCAACAAACATTAGCAGATAATCTTATTAAAAATAGTAAACCAGTGAAGAAAAAAAAATTGTTGATTAGTTGGGAAGGAAAGTAATGCAACAAGCTGACAGCGATTTGTACATCGCATGTAATATCGATGGAATTTTTTCTTCAAGAATATTGTATCAAAAAACTGATTCAGAACTCCAAATTTAAACATAACACTGCTATGGCAGGATGAACAAGATTCTTTCTATTTATTACTGTGTTAGGCTATCTTAAACAATTATTCATGCTTGTGTAGTTTTCAAGGCTACACAGACATTCAATTACATAAAAGCATTATCAGATATGTTGGTGGAATATGTTGTTGGGAAAATAAAGTCTTTATAAGATAATAACTGCCAGTGTAAAATGTACACTGCATCGATTATATTAAAAAGTATGCCATTCAGACCAAACTATATGCCATACTTGGATAAGAGAGGCGGGCTCCATTCCTCGATCTTGATGCAACTTCGAAGAGGAAACTTCATGATAGGTTGGGAGACATCTTGGGGATCAAAGACGATTGACTTGGAACAAATCTTCAGTCTTCCTCTGCATCGCCTGCCATAAAACCACATTTAAACAAAATTGTTATCATTGTCAATGTCATTATCATTGCCAATTTTACTGTCAACCGTCAGTCATTGTCATCATCACTGTCATTATCATCAGCAACTCATCATCAACAACATCAGCATCATCACTATTTATTTATTTATTTATTTATTTCTGATATTTATACAGGGTGGCACATATCACCAATTTGGTGGTCTTCCATGAGGCCCTGTTTGGTAACAATAAAAACAAATAACAGCATCAAAAACAAAATAGATAAATACACAAGCATATAAACAGGTAAAATACAAAATAATTGGTATCCCCTTGAAATAACTGATCATTCAAGAATCATCCTTGATCATTTACAAGAAATAGGTGAATGGAATTTTCAAATTAAATACAATTTAAAAAAACGTTCATTTAATAATCCGATAAAGCTTAATGCACGGGATACCAAAATTGTTATATGCATATTTACATTCAATTGCTCTTTAACTAATACACTTAGGTTGTTTATAAGATAGCTGAAAATGGATACATTACATGTATGAAAACATGATATAACGATAACCATGTCAACCACATTTCATAATTTTGCAAATAGGAAAAAAATGGTTACCTTTGCACGAAACCACCAAAAGTTTACTTACACGTCATCTACAGATAACAGGGCTTTTAGAGCGTGTTTAAAACTGTTCAGTAGGTAAGTAGGTGACATTTTGACAGGACTTTTAAGTTGGTTCCATACTCTAATTCCAGTAATTAGAGGACTATTTTTTATAAGTGTCCGTCCTAAATTTGGGTACACACAATGCATCCCTTACAGCATGTCTTGTGTTGTGATCATGTAGTGAACTAACATGATGTAAATCTTGTTTTAAGTATCACCATCATTACCAATAACATTACCAAAAATGGTACCATAACCACTACCATTCTCATCCCATTTAAACCCTTCCCATTCTCATTAGGAATGAATACTCTGTATCAATCTGTGCTCCTTTAAAATACTCACAAGAAAGTATCATCTAACATTCACTTTGGTCTCACACAATTACACAAAGCTAGTACAGGCATACAAAATAAATAGACTAATTACAATACTATAATAAAACAACAAATATCATTGTATTCTAGGAAGTATTTTCAGTAAGACAAAATTGAATTCATATTCTGAAAATGCATATAGAATGACAATCATAGATCTCCATGGATACATCTCTTTTACAGGGTAACGCTATATCACAATTTGTGGCAAAGTGTGGGCTGTTGAGTGGGGTCAGAGTGTGGAAGAGGGTGAAATCATCTTCACAACATTGTCTTCCCTCTCTTTTTTTTTTTTTTTTTTTTTGGGGGGGGGGGGGGTCACTTAAGGGGGACACATGCCTCTTGTGCCCCCCTATCCCCGATAGCTACGCTATAGTTTATTACCTCCTTGTAGCTTCCTCTTCTGATATGCTTTTGAGTCCAGTTGGGTAGAAGTAAACGCTGAAGTCTTCAAAGTATATCTCACCCGGGTCAAGCAGCAAAAGAGAAAACCTGCAACATAAAAGGGATACACGTCTGTAAATTTATTCTGAAATGACATACAGTTTCTCAATTTTCTTTCTAAGGTTGAATAGCAGGCATGCAACATATTTGTGAAAGAAAATTGAGAAACTGTGAAAGAATTTCTTTCTTTATTTCTTTGTTATGTGGCCTTACAGTTACAATTACTCTACGTAACTACAACATCCAGTTTTAGTGTAAATTGAATCTGTATCTTTAATACTTGTTCAATTAATTTCAAATTTGTTATGTCATAATGACAGTCTTAACTTAAAGGTAACGTCTAACAATTGACTCAGCAACCCCCCCCCCCCCTTTTTTTTGTCATCCAAAAATAGTAGAAAAGCGATGGCCCACTATACTAGACCTAGTCTACGATACTGATAAATATTTCATCTGATATTTTCGACTGATAATTATAGTAAGAAAAACAAATATCGATTACACTTTCACACACACGCAAATTGTCATACTCTTTCTGTCATAGACCTAGAACTTTAGAAGGCTAGATTCTAACTGAAATACACGTTTAACTGTTACTGGTAGAGCCAACATTGATACTAGCAGGTGGGACTGATAAAATCGGTGAAATGGGTTTTCTACATTTTTCGTTCCTCAAATCATACTTATATTTACCTTTCTTTAATACTCAGATCTTCATCAACAAAGGCCATGATTCAGCAATGTGTTTTCAAAGAGATTCATAGGAAATTCACATATTTCTTCGTCTCTTCCGGTTCGACAGTGACCGTCACGGACAGCTGCTCAACTTTCAACTTGCAAGTAGAATCTACAGCATGCAGTGCATGCAGTGCTAGTGGCGAGAAAATATTATTGTCCAAAATCAATTTGTAATTAGCATGCATATACATGCAGGGAGTTGGAATGGACTCCCTGATAAGTTAACAAAGTATACACAAACCAGAGGCGGCCCTCCCGAGGGGCAGGGGGGCACAGTGCCCCCCCCCCCCCACTTTTTCAGATACCCCCAAAATGCCCCTTTTTACATAGGAAAAGTGCCCCTTTTATTTTGTAAGAAGTGCCCCTTTTACATAGGAAAGGTGCCCCTTTTACTTTGACAAGTGCCCCTATTACTTAGTAAAAGTGCCCCTTTCCCCTTTTCACGTCTGACGAGTGCCCTTTTTATTTTTGACACGTGCCCCTTTTCCTTCGACATGTTCCCATTTTCCTTTGCAATAAATGTTTATTTTCCATTCTCATGAATCTTGAAATTATCTTGAATAAGGGCCCTGTTTAATCTCTAGTAAGTGCCTCTTTTCAGGTACGAGAAGTGCCCCTTTTCACTTTTAATAAGTGCCCCCTTCACCTCTGATGATTGCCCTATTCAAAACTGAGAGGTGCTCTTTTTACTTTGACAACTTCCCCTTTTTTTTTCCTTTGTAAGAAGTGTCCCTTCTCCTTTTAATAACTACCCTTTTTTTTAAATCGGATGAGCGCACCTTTCATTTTAACATGTGCCTCTCTTATTTTCTAATAAGTGCCCCTTTTCCTTATGATAAGTGCACTCATTAAAAAGAGAGAGCTCCTTCCCCTTCTTATAACTTCCCCTTCCCCTTCTCATAACTGCCCCTTTTAAACATCTGAACGGTGCCCCCTTTTCATTCAACAAATGCACATTTTCCTTTATTATAAGTGCCCCTTTTCATATCTAATAAGGGACCTATCCCCTTTTCACCTCTTATAAATGACCCTATTAAAATCTGATGGGTGCCCCTTTTCCGTCAACAAATGCCTATTTCCCATTTTCGTAAACGCCTCCTTTTCATCACTGGTGAGTGTCTCTTTTCAAGTGAAAAAATGCCTCATTTTCACCTCTTATAATTATCCTTTGTACTTATACACGTGCTCCTTTTCTTTTCTAATAAGTGTCTTATCCCTTTCGATAATTGTCCCCTTTTCATGTAATCATTAAACGTGCCCCTTATTTAAAGCGACTAAGAGCAGTTTCCCCCAAAATTCGCTGCGCTCGCTCGCATTTAAAGATTATATAATTATGTTACTTATCAAAGGTCTTTTCAGTCTTCCGTTATGAGAATGTGCTTATAACCCATCACGATTGGCTTTTTTCCTCTTTATAAGTTGTAATTTTTCGCACTGCGACCTCACAGATCTTTAAAAATTTTCTCGCTCGCTTCGCCTGCTCGTAAATGCATATTCAGACATCACACCCAACTGTAAAGTTTGATGCTTAAGCGATATCTTGTATGATGTATGAAGAGAAACAAATATTGAAATCATCCCTGATAATGTAATCACAATGTAGGGGTATAGACCAATGTCTAAAAATTGTATATTTTCGCTTTGAAATTACCCACTGTAGGTGCCCTTTTTTCCAGAAAGTGCCCTTTTTTGTTGGTGCCCCCCCCCCCACTTTGAAAGTCGCTCGGCCGCCCCTGACACAAACACAACTCATATAATAAAATCAGCCTGTAAATTTGACAATTACCCCCATGGACAATCAACCCCTCAAGCTAGGACAACCGGCCCCCCCCCCCCCCCGGGAAGTGAACCCTGATAATAATTCGGTTTAGGGGGGGGTGATTGTCCAAGGGGGTAATTTTCAGGGGTATAAAATTGTCCTCGAGGTGGTTGACCTCGGGGGGGGGGTAACTTTTCCAGGGGTTATTTTCCTTTGGGGTAATTGTCCCGCTCGTAATTGGCCGGGTGTGATTGTCGGTCAGAGAGTAGAAGTGACCGCGAACCGTCGAGGCAAGGGGTTGACGCCCCCGGCTGACAGTGACCAAAATTGTATGCTGTGCGTCCTTATCACGTACGTGCCCCTTTTAAACTGTTGTGCCCTTATTTCATAATCCTTTAATACGTACACGGCACGTACATGTCTCCACTAATTACAAGGTGCCCCTCCCGAGAGTGCAAAAAAATGGGTAAATTTATCATTTTCCCCTGAGAATAGGCCTAAGCCTTAATTGTCAGACCGTTTTAATACTTATGACTTATGTACAGGGTATGAGTGTGAACTCGACAGAATTCATCCGATATTCCCTCACATGTGGTTTATGCCCGGAGTATCATGTGCCTTCAATATGGTTATCCTTCCAGTGATCTGCACCCCTCCCCCATCCCTTCCACAGCCGCTTCGCAGGTCGGCTTCTTAAAAGCAGTTCAGACAATTACCCCCTGGCCAATTACAAGCGGGACATATACCCCAAAGGACAATTACCCCCCCCCCCCGGAAAATTACCCACCCACCCCCCAGGAAAACCACCCACAGAGGACAATTACCCCCCCCCCCCCCAAAAAAAAAAAAAAAAAAAAAAAAATCCTCCCTTCAACAGTCACCCTACCCCCACCGAGAACAATTACCTCCCGAAAAAAAATGCTGTAATTGAAACCAATTTTTATCAGGGTGAATTTCCCCTTTAATGAACAGGGGGACATTTTCATGAACTGTGTATTCGTCCTCGGGTTGGTTGTTCTTGGGGGCGTATTTGTCCTAGGGGGTAATTGTCCAACGGTGGTTCTCCTCGGGGGGGGGGGGGGGGGGTAGTTTCCGGCGGTAATATTCCGGGGGTGATTGTTCAGGGGGTAAGTGTCCTGATATGCTTAAAAGCAACTTGCTTTTACCGCTACTGCTCTAGTCGTTGTTTGATGCCTATATTCCAGTCTCATTCTTCCTTGTTTTATCAAGATAGTAATTTGTGCAGAAACAATACATCCACTTGCTTGAAACCAAAATCGATGCCCTTCGGTAATAGAGAACACAAGGCAAGAATAAAAGGAGAAATAAAACTTCTCATTGCGAGCATTTTTCTAACTCAGAAGGGATCCGTCCCCAACAGTTCGATTGTACTTTTAACGAAATTAATTAAATCCAACAAATAAAAAACAATTCCAGCATTTTTTCTTCTGCCAAAGTGCAATGAAACCTTGCTTCAGGTTTTAATATGATAAAAAATAGAATTAACTGAAGAGAGTCGCAAATTTTCAGTCCAACTCTGCTGCCAGCCCGCCCCCCCCCCCCCCCCCCCCCCCACTCAGGGGTCGGAATGACCACATGCGTGTTGCCAAAATGTCCGGTAAAGGGGTACTTTTCGTGCGACAAAATCCGGCCCGAGAATTGTAAAAAAAAGGGGTGTATTTGACTTTTTACCCGGAGATTTCTTTAAAAAGGGGGTGTTTTTTTCGTTTTTCTCTCATCTCTTTGGACTTCTGAGAAATTATTCCGAATTTAGGGGGTATATTGAGCATTTTTCCTGATTTAGGGGGGTCTCCAAGGCAGGAAAAGCCCGCGAAAAGCCCGAAAGGCGGGGTTCGGAAATGTTGGCAGTCCTCAGATAGGGGGTGCTTTCAAAAAGAGGGAACGAGCAGTACCCTAAATAACACTGAGGGGGGGGGGCGGGGTTGCCAGCAGGCAATATTGCATTGGTGACGGTGATTTACCGCATTATGTACAAACTCTTGGTTTCAACTTAATGTATTCTTGAATTGGCACCAATTTATCCGCAAGAACTATTTCAGGAGTACAAACCCTCACGCAATCTTCGGTCATCTTCACAATTAAACCTCGTGTCTATATTTCGGTGTCAACTCTTTTTTATGGTCATCGCTCTTTTTGCAAAGCTTCTGCTGATCTTTGGAACAAACTACATGTCAAAAACTGTCAAAATGTCAATCAATTCAAAATTTGTCTTAAGATACTATTCATTCAAAATTGATTTTGATGATTAACTTACCCTGTTCACATTGATGTAAATTTCATATGTATTGTAATTTGTAGGTATATTTGTAATTCTATGTATATTTATAATGTTTTGCCATTGTATTATTTTGTTTGTTATAGCACTTAATGACTTCGATGTAAAGCGCTTTATAACTTATCTCCGTTTTAATTATTATTATCATTATCAGCACAGCCTATACCTATTTCACAAGTAAATGATAATCAATATAGTTATAATATATACATAAATTAAACTTTACAGACAATGACAGTGCACAACAAACTATTATAGACTTTTCAGACACGACTTCTAAAATGCAAACGCCTTGATTAATTTTGATAATAATCTAAGGAATGTGCAACAGAGGCTGTTAACTACCTCTTCCTCTTCTCTCTCTCTCTCTCTCTCTCTCTCTCTCTCTCTCTCTCATGCGTGGTGACTTTTTTTGGTAAAAGATAAATGTTTAGACCGGAGAGTTTGTAAAAAATATTCATCAATCTCTTCCAATATTATCTTGGATAGGTCTATCATTTTTCCTTTAAAAGTGTCATTTTGGTGTTGCCCCATTAAGGGAATTTTCCGCCGCCCCTGAGTGGGAGGGGCATAACAAATTCCTATTTTCCTGCATTTATTCTTATCATGTGCAAATAAATGTGCAACAAATATGAAATGGACCTGGGCTAACTTGTTTGACTGAGTTTACCAGCACAAGCCCAAATGGCTAAGTATAACTGTTTATTTTGGGCATTAAATTCAGGCTTTGTAAAAGAAAAAAATAATACCCCCAGTTTTTACAACATTACTAAAGTGCACTTTGACCATCTTACAGTATGTCTAATATGATGTGATCCGGGGATAATGATTGTAGGACCGAAAAATTATCCAGTGATGAAAGTCGTTTATTTTAAGTCCAAAACTAGCGCGTCAAGTTACAGGAGCTATAACATTGAAAGTCCAAAACCAAGATAATTAATATTTCACAGCATATCGTATAATAATAAGTAATATAAACTAAACGAGAGAACAAGGGAGAGAATTCGAAAGAGACATTGAACGATTTAAACTAAA